ATGTCTGTAATGTGTGTATGTGTGTGTGATGTGTAATGTATGTAATGTATGTAATGCATGTTGTGTGTGTAATGTATGTAATGTGTGTATGTGTATGTAATGCATGTTGTGTGTGATGTGTAATGTATGTAATGCATGTTGTGTGTGTGTAATGCATGTAGTGTATGTAATGTTGTGTGTATGTAATGTATGTGTAATGTATGTAATGTGTGTGTGTGTGTGTAATGCATGTAGTGTATGTAATGTTGTGTGTATGTAATGTATGTGTAATGTATGTAATGTGTGTGTGTGTGCTGTAAGTGTGGGGAGCAGTGGCGCTACGCTGCGCTACGAACCCCGTGACCCGAGTTCGCTTCCCGCTCACGGTCAACACCGGTGACGATTATCTGAACCGGTCCTGGGCCTCCTCTAGATCGACTCAGCATCAAATCTTTACCTGGTGCGGTGTGTCGTAAACATCGCCACTGGGGAGACAAAGGTGGCCGGGCGTGGTGCGGGCCACCCACCCGCTCGTGTGCTCGCTAACAGCACTTGCCCCAACAGTCTGTTAGAGGCTACACGGGGGATCTTTGTACTGTGTGTTGTGATCGATGTAGGGAGGAGGCTATGGCGTGTGTGGAGGGGAGAGGGAGACGAGGATTGGTCCAGATGTCCTGTGACCCCCATGTAATTCTCTAACACGTCATACATTGCGTAAGTCAGCTTGATATAGACACAAATGAATACGCGAATGGACAAAAAATAAAGACGCTTGGGGTCAATAAAGTCCCGCTACTCGAGCGAGTAGCGGGACTTGTTTTCTATTGTCTGCTGATCTCTGTTGCAGTGTGATGTGTCAGTGTGGTGAAGTGTGGTGAAGCGTGGTGAAGTATGGTGAAGTGTGGTGAAGTGTGGTGAAGTGTGGTGAAATATGGTGAAGCATGGTGAAGTGTGGTGAAGCGTGGTGAAGTGTGGTGAAGTATGGTGAAGTGTGGTGAAGCGTGGTGAAGTGTGAAGTGTGGTGAAGTATGGTGAAGTATGGTGAAGCGTGGTGAAGTGTGGTGAAGTGTGAAGTATGGTGAAGCGTGGTGAAGTGTGGTGAAGTGTGGTGAAGCGTGGTGAAGTATGGTGAAGTGTGGTGAAGTGTGGTGAAATATGGTGAAGCATGGTGAAGTGTGGTGAAGCGTGGTGAAGTGTGGTGAAGTATGGTGAAGTGTGGTGAAGCGTGGTGAAGTGTGAAGTGTGGTGAAGTATGGTGAAGTATGGTGAAGCGTGGTGAAGTGTGGTGAAGTGTGAAGTATGGTGAAGCGTGGTGAAGTGTGGTGAAGTGTGGTGAAGCGTGGTGAAGTATGGTGAAGTGTGGTGAAGTGTGGTGAAATATGGTGAAGCATGGTGAAGTGTGGTGAAGCGTGGTGAAGTGTGGTGAAGTATGGTGAAGTGTGGTGAAGCGTGGTGAAGTGTGAAGTGTGGTGAAGTATGGTGAAGTATGGTGAAGCGTGGTGAAGTGTGGTGAAGTGTGAAGTATGGTGAAGCGTGGTGAAGTGTGGTGAAGTGTGGTGAAGCGTGGTGAAGTATGGTGAAGTGTGGTGAAGTATGGTGAAGTTTGGTGAAGTGTGGTGAAGTGTGGTGAAGCGTGGTGAAGTGTGGTGAAGTATGGTGAGGTATGGTGAAGCGTGGTGAAGTGTGGTGAAGTATGCTGAAGTAGGGTGAAGTATGGTGAAGTGTTGTGAAGTGTGAAGTATGGTGAAGTGTGGTGAAGCGTGGTGAAGTGTGGTGAAGTATGGTGAGGTATGGTGAAGCGTGGTGAAGTGTGGTGAAGTATGCTGAAGTAGGGTGAAGTATGGTGAAGTGTTGTGAAGTGTGAAGTATGGTGAAGTGTGGTGAAGTGTGGTGAAGTGTGGTGAAGTGTGAAGTGTGAAGTATGGTGAAGCGTGGTGAAGTGTGGTGAAGTGTGGTGAAGTGTGAAGTGTGAAGTATGGTGAAGCGTGGTGAAGTGTGGTGAAGTGTGGTGAAGTATGGTGAAGTATGGTGAAGCGTGGTGAAGTGTGGTGAAGTATGGTGAAGTGTGGTGAAGTGTGGTGAAGCATGGTGAAGTGTGAAGTATGGTGAAGTGTGGTGAAGTGTGGTGAAGTATGGTGAAGTGTGGTGAAGTGTGGTGAAGTGTAGTGAAGTGTGAAGTATGGTGACGTGTGGTGAAGTGTGGTGAAGTATGGTGAAGTGTGGTGAAGCATGGTGAAGTGTGAAGTATGGTGAAGTGTGGTGAAGTGTGGTGAAGTATGGTGAAGCGTGGTGAAGTGTGGTGAAGTGTGGTGAAGTATGGTGAAGTATGGTGAAGCGTGGTGAAGTGTGGTGAAGTGTGGTGAAGTGTGGTGAAGCATGGTGAAGTGTGAAGTATGGTGAAGTGTGGTGAAGTATGGTGAAGTGTGGTGAAGTATGGTGAAGTGTGGTGAAGTATGGTGAAGTATGGTGAAGCGTGGTGAAGTGTGGTGAAGTGTGGTGGCGTAGGGTGAAGTGTGGTGAAGTGTGGTGAAGTGTGGTGAAGTGTGGTGAAGTTTGGTGAAGTGTGGTGAAGTGTGGTGAAGCGTGGTGAAGTGTGGTGAAGTATGGTGAGGTATGGTGAAGCGTGGTGAAGTGTGGTGAAGTATGCTGAAGTAGGGTGAAGTATGGTGAAGTGTTGTGAAGTGTGAAGTATGGTGAAGTGTGGTGAAGCGTGGTGAAGTGTGGTGAAGTATGGTGAAGTGTGGTGAAGTGTGGTGAAGTGTGGTGAAGTGTGGCGTCAATGGTGAGGCGTGGTGATGTGATGGGTGAGTGGCAGGCCGTGGCTGGGAGATGTTAACCACCTCGCCTGGTACACAAGAAGTCGTGGCACCTGGGTCTGTCCGGTGACCTCCTGCACCTAGCCTGGCACAGCAGTCAACCCATAGCACCTGGGTCTGTCCGGTGACCTCCTGCACCTAGCCTGGCACAGCAGTCAACCCATGGCACCTGGGTCTGTCCGGTGACCTCCTGCACCTAGCCTGGCACAGCAGTCAACCCATAGCACCTGGGTCTGTCCGGTGACCTCCTGCACCTAGCCTGGCACAGCAGTCAACCCATGGCACCTGGGTCTGTCCGGTGACCTCCTGCACCCAGCCTGGCACAAACGCCGTGCCGACGTCACCACCACTGACGTTAGCCGTGGCCGGGACTCGAACCCAGGGGCAGTGCGCAAACCACCGCTCCACCATTCACATGCAGGGGCGCCGTGGTGGCTAGGGGATGTTGACTACCTCGCCTGGTGTACAGGAGGTCGTGGGTTCGAGCCCGACCCTGACGATTCCTGCTGCTGCTGCTGTATATTTGGAGTTTGCGTGTCTCTCTGTCTCTGTCTTTCTCTGTCTCTCTGTCTCTCTCTTTGTCTCTCTCTTTGTCTCTCTCTGTCTCTCTCTCTGTCTCTCTCTCTGTCTCTGTCTCTCTCTGTCTCTCTCTCTCTGTCTCTCTGTCTCTCTCTCTGTCTCTCTCTCTCTGTCTCTCTCCCCGTGGTCACCGTGGATTTGTCTCCGGCTCCTCCGGTTTGCCCCTTCCACATTGAGGCATCGACATCACCCACGCGTGTTTGGAGTGATTGGAGTGTTTGCCTGCTGCTGCTATGAATGTCCACGCGAAGTCGCTGATGCTGATGACGAACCGCGCTTCTCTCGTCCTGCTACCATTTGCTGATAGCCACGGTGGCTTCTGCATCAGCAAAAGTGCCACATAGGAGCTCACTGGGGCATTGCACCTGGTACAATGAAATAAGTGTTGTTGAGTTTACGTGTTTTCAGTTTATTTATTTGGTATAGCCCTGTGAGCCATTCGGCTCTTGAATCGGGTGCAACCGCAACAAACAGAAAAACAAAAATACGAACAAGAAAAACATCTTAGAGTGACTTTGTGTTGACTGTGCAGACAGAAAATCCATGGGGAAAAAAACCCAGCAAAAATATTCCTGAAAAATAGCACCGTACACCACCAACGCCGCGTGCAACAAATCCCAGTGGGATGCAAGTCAAACAACAACAACCACAACCAATAAATCCATAATTGCAACGTAACAGTGACCGCAGGGACTGTGACCGATTTGTGTACAATAAACTACATAAATAACATGTAAAGAGGCTCTCGCGACAGTCCGTGGTGAAGTATGGAGGTTGGGGTAGCGGTGGGGGCTGAGACCCCCAGCCCCCAAACTCGCTCGCCTGGCGGTGCGGAATGTGGTGGAGCCGGCACCGCTCGTCACGGGAGAGGGGGCACGCTACCGTAATGCCCCGAGTAGTCGCGAACCACGCTCCCGTAATGCCCCGAGTAGTCGCGAACCACGCTACCGTAATGCCCCTAGTAGTCGCGAACCACGCTACCGTAATGACCCTAGTAGTCGCGATCCATGCTACCGTAATGCCCCGAGTAGTCGCGAACCACGCTTCCGTAATGCCCCTAGTAGTCGCGAACCAAGCTCCCGTAATGCCCCGAGTAGTCGCGAACCATGCTCCCGTAATGCCCTGAGTAGTCGCGAACCACGCTCCTGTAATGCCCCTAGTAGTCGCGAACCACGCTCCCGTAATGCCCCTAGTAGTCGCGAACCACGCACCCCTAATGCCCCTAGTCGCGAACCACGCTACCGTAATGCCCCTAGTGGTCGCGAACAACGCTCCCGTAATGCCCCGAGTAGTCGCGAACCACGCTACCGTAATGCCCCTAGTAGTCGCGAACCACGCTACCGTAATGCCCCTAGTAGTCGCGAACCACGCTACCGTAATGCCCCTAGTAGTCGCGAACCACGCTCACGTAATGCCCCGAGTAGTCGCGAACCACGCTCCCGTAATGCCCCTAGTAGCCGCGAACCACGCTCCCGTAATGCCCCGAGTAGTCGCGAACCACGCTCCCGTAATGCCCCGAGTAGTCGCGAACCACGCTACCGTAATGCCCCGAGTAGTCGCGAACCACGCTCCCGTAATGCCCCGAGTAGTCGCGACCCTTATTTAGGACTGAGTCGACCCGGGAGAGGCCCACTGTTATTTGTCGGCATCACCATGCGCCAGCTTCTCCTACTGAAGGCGATGCGCGCGCGATCGGAGCAGTACGGTAGAGGTGCCGCTAGGAGCAGTCCACAACGCGCGGCGCTCCTGTTCCACGGTGTCTCTCTCTGTCTCACGTGGTGTCTCTGTCTCACGGGGTGTCTCTGTCTCACGTGGTGTCTCTCTCTGTCTCACGTGGTGTCTCTCTCTGTCTCACGTGGTGTCTCTGTCTGTCTCACGTGGTGTCTCTGTCTCACGTGGTGTCTCTGTCTCACGTGGTGTCTCTGTCTCACGTGGTGTCTCTGTCTCACGTGGTGTCTCTCTGTCTCACGTGGTGTTTCTGTCTCACGTGGTGTCTCTCTCTGTCTCACGTGGTGTCTCTCTCTGTCTCACGTGGTGTCTCTCTCTGTCTCACGTGGTGTCTCTCTCTGTCTCACGTGGTGTCTCTGTCTGTCTCACGTGGTGTCTCTCTCTGTCTCACGTGGTGTCTCTGTCTCACGTGGTGTCTCTGTCTCACGTGGTGTCTCTCTCTGTCTCACGTGGTGTCTCTCTCTGTCTCACGTGGTGTCTCTCTCTGTCTCACGTGGTGTCTCTCTCTGTCTCACGTGGTGTCTCTCTCTGTCTCACGTGGTGTCTCTGTCTCACGTGGTGTCTCTCTGTCTCACGTGGTGTCTCTGTCTCACGTGGTGTCTCTGTCTCACGCGGTGTCTCTCTTTGTCTCACGTAGTGTCTCTGTCTCACGTGGTGTCTCTGTCTCACGTGGTGTCTCTGTCTCACGTGGTGTCTCTGTCTCACGTGGTGTCTCTGTCTCACGTGGTGTCTCTCTCTGTCTCACGTGGTGTCTCTCTCTGTCTCACGTGGTGTCTCTGTCTCACGTGGTGTCTCTGTCTCACGTGGTGTCTCTGTCTCACCTGGTGTCTCTCTCTGTCTCACGTGGTGTCTCTGTCTCACGTGGTGTCTCTCTCTGTCTCACGTGGTGTCTCTGTCTCACGTGGTGTCTCTCTCTGTCTCACGTGGTGTCTCTCTGTCTCACGTGGTGTCTCTCTCTGTCTCACGTGGTGTCTCTGTCTCACGTGGTGTCTCTGTCTCACGTGGTGTCTCTGTCTCACGTGGTGTCTCTCTCTGTCTCACGTGGTGTCTCTCTCTGTCTCACGTGGTGTCTCTCTCTGTCTCACGTGGTGTCTCTCTCTGTCTCACGTGGTGTCTCTGTCTCACGTGGTGTCTCTGTCTCACGTGGTGTCTCTCTCTGTCTCAGTCTCACGTGGTGTCTCTGTCTCACGTGGTGTCTCTGTCTCACGTGGTGTCTCTCTCTGTCTCAGTCTCACGTGGTGTCTCTCTCTGTCTCAGTCTCACGTGGTGTCTCTGTCTCACGTGGTGTCTCTCTCTGTCTCGGTCTCACGTGGTGTCTCTGTCTCACGTGGTGTCTCTCTCTGTCTCACGTGGTGTCTCTGTCTCACGTGGTGTCTCTGTCTCACGTGGTGTCTCACGCGGTGTCTCTCACTGTCTCACGGTGTATCTCTCCTGTCCCACGGTGTCTCTCTCTGTCTCTGTCTCACCTGGTGTCTCTCTCACGTGGTGTCTCTCTCTGTCTCTGTCTCACCTGGTGTCTTTGTCTCACCTGGTGTCTCTGTCTCATGTGGTGCCTCTCTCTCTCTCTGTCTCACGGTGTCTCTCTCTGTCTCTGTCTCACTTGGTGTCTCTGTCTCACGCGGTGTCTCTCACTGTCCCACGGTGTCTCTCTCTGTCTCTGTCTCACCTGGTGTCTCTCACTGTCTCACGTGGTGTCTCTCTCTGTCTCACGTGGTGTCTCTCTCTGTCTCACGTGGTGTCTCTCTCTGTCTCACGTGGTGTCTCTCTCTGTCTCACGTGGTGTCTCTCACTGTCTCACGGTGTCTCTCTCCTGTCCCAGGGTGTCTCTCTCTGTCTCTGTCTCACGTGGTGTCTCTCTCACGTGGTGTCTCTCTCTGTCTCTGTCTCACCTGGTGTCTCTGTCTCACCTGGTGTCTCTGTCTCATGTGGTGTCTCGCTCTCTCTCTGTCTCACGGTGTCTCTCTCTGTCTCTGTCTCACGTGGTGTCTCTGTCTCACGCGGTGTCTCTCTCTGTCTCACGTGGTGTCTCTGTCTCACGTGGTGTCTCTGTCTCACGTGGTGTCTCACGTGGTTTCTCTGTCTCACGGTGTCTCTCTCCTGTCCCACGGTGTCTCTCTCTGTCTCTGTCTCACCTGGTGTCTCTGTCTCACGTGGTGTCTCTCTCTGTCTCTGTCTCACCTGGTGTCTTTGTCTCACCTGGTGTCTCTCTCTGTCTCACGTGGTGTCTCTCTCTCTCTGTCTCACGCGGTGTCTCTCTCAAGTGGTGTCTCTCTCTCTGTCTCACCTGGTGTCTCTGTCTCACCTGGTGTCTCTGTCTCATGTGGTGTCTCTCTCTCTGTCTCACGTGGTGTCTCTCTCCTGCCTCACGGTGTCTCTCTCCTTTCCCACGGTGTCTCTCTCTATCTCTGTCTCACCTGGTGTCTCTCACTGTCTCACGTGGTGTCTCTCTCACGTGGTGTCTCTCTCGGTGTCTCTTTCCTGCCCCACGGTGTCTCTGTCTCACGTGGTGTCTCTCTCTGTCTCACGTGGTGTCTCTCTCCTGTCTCACGTGGTGTCTCTCTCTGTCTCACCTGGTGTCTCTCTCTGTCTCTGTCTCACGTGGCGTCTCTGTCTCACCTGGTGTCTCTGTCTCACCTGGTGTCTCTGTCTCATGTGGTGTCTCTCTCTATCTCTGTCTCACGGTGTCTCTCTCTATCTTACGTGGTGTCTCTCACTGTCTCACGGTGTCTCTCTCCTGTCCCACGGTGTCTCTCTCTGTCTCTGTCTCACCTGGTGTCTCTGTCTCACCTGGTGTCTCTGTCTCACCTGGTGTCTCTGTCTCATGTGGTGTCTCTCTCTATCTCTGTCTCACGTGGTGTCTCTCTCTGTCTTACGTGGTGTCTCTCACTGTCTCACGGTGTCTCTCTCCTGTCCCACGGTGTCTGTCTCTGTCTCACGTGGTGTCTCTGTCTCACGTGGTGTCTTTCACTGTCTCACGGTGTCTCTCTCCTGTCCCACGGTGTCTCTCTCTGTCTCACGGTGTCTCTCTCTGTCTCACGTGGTGTCTCTCTCATGTGGTGTCTCTCTCTCTCTTTGTCTCACGGTGTCTCTCTCCTGTCCCACGGTGTCTCTGTCTCACGTGGTGTCTCTCTCTGTCTCACGTGGTGTCTCTCGCGGTGTCTCTCGCGGTGTCTCTCTCCTGTCCCACGGTGTCTCTCTCTGTCTCTGTCTCTCGCGGTGTCTTTCTATGTCTCACGTGGTGTCTCTCTCTCTGTCTCACGTGGTTTCTCTGTCTCACGTGGTGTCTCTCTCTCTGTCTCTCGCGGTGTCTCTCTCGTGGTGTCTCTCTCTGTCTCTGTCTCACGTGGTGTCTCTCTCTGTCTCAGGCGGTGTCTTTCTCTGTCTCACGCGGTGTCTCTCTCGTGGTGTCTCTCTCCTGTCTCACGGTGTCTCTCTCCTGTTCCACGGTGTCTCTCTCTGTCTTTGTCTCTCGCGGTGTCTCTCTCTGTCTCACGTGGTGTCTCTATCTCACGTGGTGTCTCTCTCTGTCTCTGTCTCACGTGGTGTCTCTCTCGTGGTGTCTCTCTCTGTCTCACGCGGTGTCTCTCTCGTGGTGTCTCTCTCTGTCTCACGTGGTGTCTCTGTCTCACGCGATGTCTCTCTCTGTCTCACGCGGTGTCTCTCTCTGTCTCTGTCTCTCGTGGTGTCTCTCTCTCTCTGTCTCACGCGGTCTCTCACGCAGTGTCTCTCTCTGTCTCTGTCTCACGTGGTGTCTCTCTCGTGGTGTCTCTCTCTGTCTCACGCGGTGTCTCTCTCGCGGTGTCTCTCTCTGTCTCACGCGGTGTCTCTCTCGCGGTGTCTCTCTCTGTCTCACGCGGTGTCTCTCTCGCGGTGTCTCTCTCTGTCTCACGCGGTGTCTCTCTCGCGGTGTGTCTCTCTTTGTCCCCCACACGAAGTTGGCGCGGGTCTGGTGAGCGCGGAGACACGGAAAGCAGTGAGTGGGACGCAGCACTCACCCCACTCACCACTACTCACCCCTACTCACCACTACTCACCCCTACTCACCCCCACTCACCACTACTCACCCCACTCACCACTACTCACCCCTACTCACCCTACTCACCCCTACTCACCCCCACTCACCCCCACTAAACCCCACTCACCACTACTCACCCCTACTCACCCTACTCACCCTACTCACCCCCACTCACCACTACTCACCCCCACTCACCCTTACTCACCACTACTCACCGCCACTACCCCCACTCACCCCCACTCACCCCACTACCCCAACTCACCCCTACTCACCCCACTACCCCTACTCACCCTACTCACCCCCACTCACCACTACTCACCCCACTACCCCTACTTACCCTACTCACCCCCACTCACCCCACTACCCCAACTCACCCCTACTCACCCCACTACCCCTACTCACCCTACTCACCCCCACTCTCCACTACTCACCCCACTACCCCTACTTACCCTACTCGCCCCCACTCACCCCTACTCACCCTACTCACCCCTACTCACCCCCACTCACCCCATACTCACCCCCACTACCCCCACTCACCCCACTACCCTCACTCACCCCCACTCACCCTACTCACCCCCACTCACCCCTACTCACCCCCACTCCCCCCCGCACACCCCCACTACCCTCACTCACCCCCACTACCCCCACTCACCCCCACTCATCCCCTACTCACCCCCACTCACCCCACTCACCCCACTCACCCCCACTTTCCTCACTCACCCCCACTACCCCCACTACCCCCACTACCCCCACTCACCCCTACTCACCCCCACTTACCCCCACTCACCCCCACTACCCCCACTCACCCCCACTCACCCCCACTCACCCCCACTCACCCCTACCACCCCCACTCACCCCCACTACCCCCACTACCCCCACTCACCCCTACTCACCCACTCACCCCCACTACCCCCACCTACCCCCACTACCCCCACTACCCCCACTACCCCCGACCCCCACTACCCCTACTCACCCCCACTCACCCCCACTACCCCCACTCACCCCCACTCACCCCCACTACCCCCACTCACCCCCACTCACCCCTACTCACCCCCCCCCCACCCCCACTACCCCCACTCACCTCCACTACCCCCACTCACCCCCACTCACCCCCGCTCACCCCCACTACCCCCACTCACCCCCACTCATCCCCTACTCACCCCCACTACCCCTACTCACCCCTACTCACCCCTACTCACCCCCACTCACCCCCACTCACCCCACTCACCCCACTCACCCCCACTTTCCTCACTCACCCCCACTACCCCCACTCACCCCCACTCACCCCCACTACCCCCACTCACCCCCACTACCCCCACTCACCTCACGTGAGTCAACGGGCCATTAAGGCTGCGTGTTTCTGTGTGGCCGTGTCTCTGTGTGGCCGTGTCTCTGTGTGGCCGTGCCTCTGTGTGGCCGTGTCTCTGTGTGGCCGTGTCTCTGTGTGGCCGTGTCTCTGTGTGGCCGTGTCTCTGTGTGGCCGTGTCTCTGTGTGGCCGTGTCTCTGTGTGGCCGTGTCTCTGTGTGGCCGTGTCTCTGTGTGGCCGTGTCTCTGTGTGGCCGTGTCTCTGTGTGGCCGTGTCTCTGTGTGGCCGTGTCTCTGTGTGGCCGTGTCTCTGTGTGGCCGTGTCTCTGTGTGGCCGTGTCTCTGTGTGGCCGTGTCTCTGTGTGGCCGTGTCTCTGTGTGGCCGTGTCTCTGTGTGGCCGTGTCTCTGTGTGGCCGTGTCTCTGTGTGGCCGTGTCTCTGTGTGGCCGTGTCTCTGTGTGGCCGTGTCTCTGTGTGGCCGTGTCTCTGTGTGGCCGTGTCTCTGTGTGGCCGTGTCTCTGTGTGGCCGTGTCTCTGTGTGGCCGTGTCTCTGTGTGGCCGTGTCTCTGTGTGGCCGTGTCTCTGTGTGGCCGTGTCTCTGTGTGGCCGTGTCTCTGTGTGGCCGTGTCTCTGTGTGGCCGTGTCTCTGTGTGGCCGTGTCTCTGTGTGGCCGTGTCTCTGTGTGGCCGTGTCTCTGTGTGGCCGTGTCTCTGTGTGGCCGTGTCTCTGTGTGGCCGTGTCTCTGTGTGGCCGTGTCTCTGTGTGGCCGTGTCTCTGTGTGGCCGTGTCTCTGTGTGGCCGTGTCTCTGTGTGGCCGTGTCTCTGTGTGGCCGTGTCTCTGTGTGGCCGTGTCTCTGTGTGGCCGTGTCTCTGTGTGGCCGTGTCTCTGTGTGGCCGTGTCTCTGTGTGGCCGTGTCTCTGTGTGGCCGTGTCTCTGTGTGGCCGTGTCTCTGTGTGGCCGTGTCTCTGTGTGGCCGTGTCTCTGTGTGGCCGTGTCTCTGTGTGGCCGTGTCTCTGTGTGGCCGTGTCTCTGTGTGGCCGTGTCTCTGTGTGGCCGTGTCTCTGTGTGGCCGTGTCTCTGTGTGGCCGTGTCTCTGTGTGGCCGTGTCTCTGTGTGGCCGTGTCTCTGTGTGGCCGTGTCTCTGTGTGGCCGTGTCTCTGTGTGGCCGTGTCTCTGTGTGGCCGTGTCTCTGTGTGGCCGTGTCTCTGTGTGGCCGTGTCTCTGTGTGGCCGTGTCTCTGTGTGGCCGTGTCTCTGTGTGGCCGTGTCTCTGTGTGGCCGTGTCTCTGTGTGGCCGTGTCTCTGTGTGGCCGTGTCTCTGTGTGGCCGTGTCTCTGTGTGGCCGTGTCTCTGTGTGGCCGTGTCTCTGTGTGGCCGTGTCTCTGTGTCTCTGTCTCTGTGTCTCTGTGTTGCCGTGTCTCTGTATCTCTGTGTGGCCGTGTGTCTGTGTCTCTGTGTGGCCGTGTCTCTGTGTCTCTGTGTGGCCGTGTCTCTGTGTCTCTGTGTGGCCGTGTCTCTGTGTCTCTGCGTCTCTGTGTGGCCGTGTCTCTGTGTGGCCGTGTCTCTGCGTCTCTGTGTGGCCGTGTCTCTGCGTCTCTGTGTGGCCGTGTCTCTGTGTGGCCGTGTCTCTGTGTGGCCGTGTCTCTGCGTCTTTGTGTGGCCGTGTCTCTGTGTCTCTGTGTGGCCGTGTCTCTGTGTGTGTGGCCGTGTCTCTGCGTCTCTGCCTCTGTGTGGCCGTGTCTCTGTGTGGCCGTGTCTCTGTGTCTGTGTCTGGCCGTGTCTCTGTGTCTCTGTGTGGCTGTGTCTCTGTGTGGCCGTGTCTTTGTGTCTCTGTGTGGCCGTGTCTCTGTGTCTCTGTGTCTCTGTGTGGCCGTGTCTCTGTGTCTCTGTTTGGCCATGTCTCTGTGTCTCTGTGTGGCCGTGTCTCTGTGTCTCTGTGTGGCCGTGTCTCTGTGTCTCTGTTTGGCCGTGTCTCTGTGTCTCTGTGAGGCTGTGTCTCTGTGTCTGTGTGTGGCCGTGTCTCTGTGTCTCTGTTTGGACGTGTCTCTGTGTCTCTGTGTGGCCGTGTCTCTGTGTCTCTGTTTGGCCGTGTCTCTGTGTCTCTGTGGCCGTGTCTCTGTGTCTCTGTGTGGCCGTGTCTCTGTGTCTATGTGTGGCCGTGTCTCTATGTCTCTGTTTGGCCGTGTCTCTGTGTCTCTGTTTGGCCGTGTCTCTGTGTCTCTGTGTGGCCGTGTCTCTGTGTCTCTGTTTGGCCGTGTCTCTGTGTCTCTGTTTGGCCGTGTCTCTGTGTCTCTGTGTCTCTGTGTGGCCGTGTCTGTGTGGCCGTGTCTCTGTGTCTCTGTGTGGCCGTGTCTCTCTGTCTCTGTTTGGCCGTGTCTCTGTGTCTCTGTGTGGCCGTGTCTCTGTGTCTCTGTTTGGCCGTGTCTCTGTGTGGCCGTGTCTCTGTGTCTCTGTGTGGCCGTGTCTCTGTGTCTCTGTTTGGCCGTGTCACGTGGTAGAAGTAGGAGGAGGCTTCTTAGTTCCATGGCGTAAGTATGAATGATTAACTGTGAATAACCCAACCAACGATCGATATCCATGGTACTGTAAATTAAAACATTAACCCCATCCCCGCATCTGATCTCCGCACCTGATTGCCTCTCGGTTGACGACTTCACGTTCACACCCCGCATCTATTTCAACAGCAGCAGGAGGAGGATTTCTCCACAAGTCTCGCTGTCGCCTGACGATGATGGTTGTTGTTGCTGGTTGTTGTTGTAATCACCGGCGAAACGTCACCGGCTCCTCGAATTGTGTCGCTGTGGGTGTCACTCTCCCCAACGCGCAACAACGGGATAAGTGCTGAGCCAGTAACGAATTGTGCAAGGGTTTGTTAACGTGACAAACCCTTAGCTGGTTGTTGTCTGTGTCACGTGGTGGTGGCGAGTTTAGCGACGACACAACATGTATATATTTACGCGATCTAACCCAACAAAAACTTACTAATTGGCTGTGTCAGGTGGTGGTGGCGGGTTTAGCGACGACACAACATTTATATATTTTGCGCGATCTAAACCCAACAAAAACTTACTAATTGGCTGTGTCAGGTGATGGTTGCGGGTTTAGCGACGACACACCATTTATATATTTACGCGATCTAAACCCAATAGCAAAAAAACCTTTTGTCGTGGACTTCATGCTCCCTCCCAGATCGGACGAGAGTGCGAGAGAGTCGGGGAATGGGCGAGCGGGTAATCTATGTACGTACGCGCAGTTACTCGACTTACGAACACGACTCGTTCCTGAGACCCGTTCGTAAGTCGGAACACAGCAAATGTGTTTAAATGCCCAGAGGGTCGGTGTCAGGATGAAGTGCGTTACGGCTCAGCAAAGAGGAGCCTCGTTGAAATCGTAAATAAGGAGAAATGTTGCGCGCTTGCACGTCACGCTGTCAAAATAAAATAGTGCACGGTAAATAAAACGTAACATAAAAGTAACATAAATAGAAAAAAGATCGGTTAATAATTCACTTAGCTTGGGTCCTGATGCTGCTGACTCGCTCGTCGGAAGGGGAGCAATGAGTCGCCGCAAGTGCGCACACAGACACACACAGACTCACACACTAACATACACACACACAGACACACTAACATACACACACAGACACACACAGACACACACACACAGACACACAGATACACAAAGACAAATATCCCCCGTATAGCCTTAACAGACTGTAGGGGCACGTGCTGTTAGCAAGCACCTATGAAGGCCAGAACGGCACACGAGGGGGTGGGTGGCCAGCACCACGCCCGGCCGCTTTTGTCTCCCCAGTGGCAATGTTTACACACCGCACCAGGTACTCAATTGAGGCTGAGTCGACCTAGGGGAGGCCCAGGACCGGTTCAGATAATCGTCACTGGTGTTGGCCGTGAGCGGGAATCGAACCGCTCACGGCCAACACCAGTGACACACACAGACACACACACACAGACATACACAGACTCAGACACACAGATACACACACACACACACCGGTGTAGTGCTGTACTAGTGTAATGACGACTAGACACACTTCTCTTGACATGGCACTTTATGGAAGACACGTTCACTTGACATCAGGCGGAGATCCCCACCGCAACAGCCCCGAGTCTTTCGCGCATCTCCCTTTTATATACCAACACGAGGCCACGCCCCCCTTCTCGATCATTCTCGCTGACTGGACGCTCCCTCTACCGGCAGACTCCACCGTGCTCTTCCGTCACCTGACCACGCTCCCTTCTCGAACATTCCCGTAGCCACCAGTCCCTTCGCACTGACAACTGGCTTCCCTGTCATTACCTCCCGTGGCCACTAGTGCACTCGTACTGACAACTGACTCCCCTGCCATTACCTCCCGTGGCCACTAGTCCCCTCACACCGCATGCAGGTTCTATTGTCATTACACGAGTAACGAATTTGGCACATTTTAATTACGTGACAAACCTTACTAATTTCGCTGTGTCGGGTGATGGCGGTTTTAACGACACGTGTATATTTATGGAATTAGCAACTTCCACGACACGTCATATAGAGGGTACTTCTTCTTTATTACTCTCGCTGGGCACAACACAGGCCAACACTGGTTCTTCGTCCCACTGAATGTAGCTCTAGGCAATAACTCCTCTACGGGCAACACGCACAGCCGATCACTCGGCGTGGTCCCCTCGTCATCGTCTCGCGCCGCTGGCTGGCGGCGTGACGATGACGGCGGCGATGGAACCCACGCGGGAGATCTTCCACGTGGCCGGACGACGGAGAGAGATGTCGGTGAACAGCGACACAGCCAGGACCCAGGACCACACCCACGAGCCCCGGGTCCGCTCCCCCTTATATCCCCCCAGGCGTGGCTAGGCCCCGCCTCCGGCCACGCCCTCTCGTGGAGCCTTCCAGCAGGTTACACGAGAGGGCGTGGCCGGAGGCGTGGATAGGCCCCGCCTCTGGCCACGCCCTCTCGTGGAACCTTCCAGCAGGTTTCCAGAGCATCTCGGCTAGCCCCACCTGTTACCTTTGCCCCAGATGCACCTCCTTCTCTGATTGGTTGTTACCTCTGTGGCCGTACCCGCGAATCCCTTCCCAGGCCAGCAGGTGTCACCCTGTCATTACATCTACACAATCTAACCCAAAAACCTCGATTATGGATATTGGTCACGGGAGCGTCAAGAGACGCGTTGAACTGTGATTGTGTTTTAAAGCGCTGTGTGCGAGGCCTTGTGCGAATGGCGCCATGTGCAAAACATGAGTTTGGAAAAATACGAAAAGGTATATAAGTTGCGTTAAGATGTTCAAACACCAAATAGAAACATTTTGCAAGGAATCAACCACTGCATTAGCCACACACGGAACTCGGTAAACGCGCTTGTTTGGATCATCAGCTGCTGCGCCTCTTGTCCTACTTCGAACAGCCCCAGGGCCCGGTGGCTCGCCAAGCTCCAGACTTACTAAACTAACACAATTATTTTTTTGTATTTCACCAGCTCAGGGCCCACCATTGAGCTGCTGTGTACTATTCAGAAGCGACCTGGCCATCACAAATGATAGCTCGAACAAGTGGCTTATCACGTGGACGTTTATAGCGGCCAAATCGCCATGAGGGAGACAAAGGCGGCCGGGCGTGGTGCTGGCCACCCACCCCCCTCGCGTGCCGTGCCGGCCTTCGTAGGAGCTACGCGCAAATAGCACTTGCCCCGACGGTCTGTTGAAGGCTACACGGGGGATCTTTGTGCGTCGTTCCCTTAACCCCCCACCCCCACGCACTCGCTGGACCGTGCTGCCCCTTCCCTTCTGCCTTCCACCACCTCAGAACTTCTCTCGGACGTCTCGGCGTGCACGAGGGGAGCGGTGACTCTGGCTCCCGGGTTCCCTGTGCCCTCGGTGCTGCCTGGTGCCATCCCAGTCCTGGCAGGACCTCCGCAGCCTGGCCCACACAGGGCCCACTGACTGGACCCGGGACCAGGACCGGACTACACCGGACTGGACTGGACCAGACCGGGACCAGAACTGACCGGGACCAGAGCCCGGGACCAGGACTGGACCAGACGTGACCCGACCAGGAACCAGACAGAACTGAGACCAGGACTGGACTGGGACCGGCATGGGGACCGGGACCCAGGGCAGACAGGAACAGGACCAGGTCCGGACCGTCCCGGACCCGCTTGGCGTCCGGGAGCTGTAAACATCCACGACTGGAAGCTGCCCCACTGTGGCCACGCGGCTTTCAGTCCGGTGTTTACGGCTCCCGCCAGCCCCTCCCTACATGCAGCGGGGGACCCCAGCCAAGTTGAACCTCCCAGCGACAAACGGCGGTGGTGTCGGCGGCGGTGGTGCTGAACGGTGGTGGTGTCGGCGGCGGTGGTGCCGAACGGTGGTGGTGCTGAACGGTGGTGGTGTCGGCGGCGGTGGTGTCGGCGGCGGTGCTGAACGGTGGTGGTGCTGAACGGTGGTGGTGCTGAACGGTGGTGGTGCTGAACGGTGGTGGTGTCGGCGGCGGTGATGCTGAACGGTGGTGGTGTCGGCGGCGGTGGTGTCAGCGGCGGTGGTGTCGGCGGTGATGCTGAACGGTGGTGGTGTTGAACGGTGGTGGTGGTGTCGGCGGTGGTGCTGAACGGTGGTGGTGCTGAACGGTGGTGGTGGTGGTGTCGGCGGCGGTGGTGCTGAACGGTGGTGGTGGTGTGCGTGAGTTGGGAGTGGCGGTGCAGCGGTTAGCGCCACACTGCGCTTCGAACGCGGAGATTCCCGCTCACGGCCAACACCGGTGGCGGTTATCTGAACCGGTCCATGGCCTCCCCTAGGTCGACTCAAATGAGTACCTGGTGCGGTGTGTAGTAAACATCGCCACTGGGGAGACAAAGGCGGCCAGGCGTGGTGTTGGCCATCCATCCCCTCGTGTAAAATGCCGGGCTTCATAGGTACTCACAAACAGCACTTGCCCCAACAGTCTCTTACAGACGATATGGGGGATCTTTGTTTTGGTGTTCGTGATGGTGGCGTTGGTGGTGTCTATAGTGGCGGTGTGCGTGGTGTTGTTGGCGGTGTGCGTGGTGGCGGTGTGCGTGGTGACGGTGTTGGTGACGGTGTGCGTGATGACGGTGTGCGTGGTGACGGTGTTGGTGACGGTGTGCGTGGTGACGGTGTGCGTGGTGACGGTGTTGGTGACGGTGTGCGTGGTGGCGGTGTGCGCGGTGGTGGTGTGTGTAGTGATGGTGTGCATGGTGACGGTGTTGGTGACGGTGTTGGTGACGGTGTTGGTGACGGTGTGCGTGGTGGTGGTGTGCGTGGTGGTGGTGTGCGTGGTGACGGTGTGACTACCTCGCCTGGTACGCAGGAGGTCGTGGGTTCCATGCCGACTCTGACAATGCCTGCTGCTGTATATTTGGAGTTTGCGTTTCTCTTTCTCATCATCACGGTGGCTAGGAGATGTTAACTACCTCGCCTGGTATACAGGAGGTCGTGGGTTCGATCCCGACCCTGACGCCTGCTGCTGCTGCTGTATATTTGGAGTTTGCGGTGTCTCTCCCCGTGGTCACCGCATGGATTTTTCTCCGGGTCCTCCGGTTCCCCCCCCCCCTCCACATTTAGAATCAACGTCACCACGCGTTGAAGAGTATCTGGCTGCTGATAAACATTTTCACGCGACGACGATGATGATGGTGGTGGTGATGGTGGTAAGCCGCCACCACTTCGTTGCGCTATGCTTTGCGATGGCCAGGGTCGCTTCTGAACGAGAGCGAGATCGCGCGATAGCTCAGTGATTGGCCTGAAATCTGGTAGACATCAAGAGATGTCGTTTTCACGTCGCCCACTATGGGAGCCGACTCAACCGCTTCCCCGTCCCCGTCGTCGCTTCGATCGCTCGGCGCGATGACGCGCCACGCACACACACACAGACTCACACACACACAGACTCACACACACATAGACTCACACACACAGACTCAAACACACAGACTCACACACACAGACTCACACACACACAGACTCACACACACAGACTCACACACACACAGACTCACACACACACAGACTCACACACACACAGACTCACATACAGACTCACACACACACAGACTCACACACACAGACTCACAAAGATCAAAGACACAGACTCACACACACAGACTCACAACAACAACCGCCATTCGCCACTAAGTGGCGGTGACGTCACCACGACGCTTGTGCCAGGCTATGTGCACCCTGAGGCCACGTGAAGTGTCGAACGCCCGCTGGCAGGAGGTCACGGGGCAGACCCAGGTGCCACGGGTCGACTGACTGAGATGGCTGGCTGATGCACCACCTGTGCCCCCTACTGTGCCAACCTGCTGTGCTTTAGCCACCCGGCGCTCCGCTCGTTGTTGTGAGCGTCGCTCCTCTGCCCTCCGTTGTTGTTGGAGGGCGACTGCTTCCAACTGCCCAGTAGCGTCCTTCACGAGCCTCCTCCACAGAGGCCGATCTTGACACCGCTGGTACCAGTCATCGGCAAGTCCACTCAGCTCCACGTCCTCCTGTACCACATAACTCCATCTCTTCTCTAGCCCGTGCCGCGCCCGCTTAGCCCCCTCAATCCGGACAAACAAAAGCTGTTTCGGCATGCGGTGGCTGGGCATGCGGGCTACATGACCCAGCCATCGCAGCCTTCCCCGCTGGAGGAGCTCACCGATGGGACCTTGCCCAGATCTTTCAAGGATTTGTGAGCTCCTCACACAATCCAGTCTGGTTAAACCCAGGATGGATCGTAGGCAGGCCAGTCTAAATGCTTTTAACCGGCGAAGATGTTCCATTAGGAGGGTCCACGTTTCGCAAGCGTAGAGAAGGGAAGGAATGACCGTGGCCGAGAAGACCTGAAGCTTAGTGTGGAGCCAAAGACCAGGTAGCTTCCACACAGCGTTACGCAACCGATGAAAAGATATTGCCGCTCGACTGATTCGAAGTGAGACCTCTGCTGTTAAACTGGAGCCGGTCATAAACACACTGCCCAGGTATGGGAAACTCTCCACTCTCTCCACAACTGCCCCATCACCGATTGGGAGTTGTGGGGGTGGAGTGTCCGATGGTACAAAATACCCAGGCAGGTGCTTAGTTTTGGTGGGGCTGATGGTAAGGCCCCACCTCTTAGTGGCACGCTCCAGTCTCAGCAGCAGCATCTCCAACTCCTCCTCTGAATGAGCAGCTATTACCAAATCATCAGCATACATAACGGTTGAGCAATAGGGAGCCATCCCTTGACCGCACCCGGGCATCGATCAGCCTCCCATTATATCTGTACCATATGGAGATTCCCCCAGTACAGCTATTGAAGGCTTGACGAACTACGTGGTCAAAATTGATGTTAAATAATGTGGGAGCCAGAGGACATCCCTGTCGACTAGATGACTAGTCGATGGTCAGAGGGCAGATCAGCTCTACGGTAGGTCCTGGTGTCAAGGACATGGGCCATCATCCGCTGGTCCATCACTATGTAGTCCAGCAGATGTTCTTGCTTGGACCCGGCATGCATCCATGATGTTGTGTGGATGCGCCGATGCCGGAACAGCGTGTTGGTAATTACAAGCCCATGGGCTGCACAAAAATCTAGCAGCCTCCTACCGTTGTTATTGAGCTGATCTGGCCCATGCCCTCCAATCACTCCAGACCAAGTGCCAGTATCATGACCAACTCGGGCATTGAAGTCACCCAACATGATGACTCTATCCCGAGGCGCCACTTTAGCCAGCACCTGTGACAGGAGGTCATAGAAGGCATCTGACTCAACGGCTTTGCCTGCATCCCTCCACGAATGTTCATCTTCGGTGGGGGCATAAGTAACCACGACCACCATTCCTCGCCTCCGGTTGATGGGAAGGCGAGCCCAAAGTAGCCTGGGGCTTACAGCTTCCCACACCTCACCGCCACGCTCCCACGCCCCCTTCATTATTTTGTTCAAAAGAAGAGCCACACCCTGTTGTTTGGCAGTCTGCTGCCCCGAGTAGAGGACTGTCCACCCCTCATGGTGGCAGGAGCCAGAGCCGGTCCACCGGACCTCCTGAATGCCACATAGATCCAGGCGGTACCGGTCCAGCTCCCGACAGAGGAGTGGCAGCCTCTCCTCCGCAGTGAGAGTTCGAACATTCCACATGGCCACCCGTAGTGGTTTTTCGTTGTTTCTGGAGGAGCCCAGACTCACACACACACAGACTCACACACACACACAGACTCACACACACACACAGACTCACACACACACATAGACTCACACACAGACACTCTCACACTCTCACACACAAACACTCTCACACACAGACACACACACAAAGATCAAAGATCCCCCATATAGCCTTAACAGACTGTAGGGGCAAGTGCTGTTAGCGAGCACCTATGAAGGCCAGTCCGGCCCCACAGCGTTTAAAGAAGATGACGGCTTGTGCACCAGATCTTATTTATTCACGATGTACTTACAAAAAATTCCGCAGACTACCTGCTGGATCTCCTCTCTGTTTCAAATAAAAAATGTGACCTCAGGTCTTCGTTCATTTACCAGCTTCACATTCCCTACTGCCGTACAAAAACTGTAGGAAGGGCCTTTGCTATTGATGCCCCCAGGGTCTGGAATGCTATTGCCAATAAACTGCAACTTGAATCACTACCTATGAGATCTTCACTCAAAACTGATCTAGAGGAGTTGTACACCCCTAGCTGCCACTGCTATTCAGTGGCCTAAAATATGGCTCTAGATTTTGGTGTTATAATTTATTTATGTAGTTTATTGTTAAAAATTCGGTCACAGTCCCTATGATCACTGTTACATTGGATTTATGGCTTTTATTTTGATTTCGAAAACGTGTTTTTGTTTTTGGCCATGATTTTGTTTATTGTAGTACGGAGTTAGACTGATGGCCTTAATCTTAGTTGTCTTGTGGTTGTTGTTGTTATTTGACTTGCATTCCACTGGGATGTTTGCACACAACGTTGGTGTACGGTGCTATTTCAGGAATATTTTGATATTTTTTCCTGTATTTTCTGTTTGCACAGTCACATAATCACTTTAAGATGTTTTCTTGTTCATGTTTTTTGTTTGTTGCGGTTGCACCCGATTCAAGAGCCGAATGGCTCACAGGGCTATACCAAATAAATAAACTATGAAGTATGCATGTCACTGGCATTTGTGTGGTATGGGTGCTCCAGCTTGAATCACAGAGCAGCTGTCAGTGTCGCCTTGCAGCATCTTTCCCCCCGTCTTGGCCACGTGGAATGTTCGAACGCTCACCGCGGATGAGAGGCTGCCACTCCTTTGTCGGGAGCTGGACCGGTACCGCCTGGATCTCTGTGGTATTCAGGAGGTTCGGTGGAGCGGCTCTGGCTCCTGCCACCATGAGGGTTGGAAAAGCCTCGACTCGGGGCAGAGTGCATGGAGTGGAGTGAGATGGGAGGGGAGAGGCAGTAGAGTGCGTGGAGGGGAGTGGAGTGAGATGAGAGCGGAGAGGCAGGAGAATGAGTGGAGGGGAGTGGAGTGAGATGAGAGGGGAGAGGCAGGAGAGTGCGTGGATGGGAGTGGAGTGAGATGAGAGGGGAGAGGCAGTAGAGTGCGTGGAGGGGAGTGGAGTGAGATGAGAGGGGAGAGGCAGTAGAGTGCGTGGAGGGGAGTGGAGTGAGATGAGAGGGGAGAGGCAGTAGAGTGCGTGGAGGGGAGTGGAGTGAGATGAGAGGGGAGAGGCAGGAGAGTGCGTGGATGGGAGTAGAGTGAGATGAGAGGTAGGAGAGTGTGTGGAGGGGAGTGGAGTGAGATGAGAGGGGAGAGGCAGTAGAGTGCGTGGAGGGGAGTGGAGTGAGATGAGAGGGGAGAGGCAGTAGAGTGCGTGGAGGGGAGTGGAGTGAGATGAGAGGGGAGAGGCAGTAGAGAGCGTGGAGGGGAGTGGAGTGAGATGAGAGGGGAGAGGCAGTAGAGTGCGTGGAGGGGAGTGGAGTGAGATGAGAGGGGAGAGGCAGTAGAGTGCGTGGAGGGGAGTGGAGTGAGATGAGAGGGGAGAGGCAGTAGAGAGCGTGGAGGGGAGTAGAGTGAGATGAGAGGGGAGCGGTAGGAGAGTGCGTGGAGGGGAGTAGAGTGAGATGAGAGGGGAGAGACAGGAGAGAGCGTGGAGGGGAATGGAGTGAGATGAGAGGTAGGAGAGTGTGTGGAGGGGAGTGGAGTGAGATGAGAGGGGAGAGGTAGGAGAGAACGTGGAGGGGAGTGGAGTGAGATGGCAGGGTGAGAAGAGTGGAAGTCTCGACGTGGCAGGAGATTTTCATTATTTCGCGACAATAAAATTCCACGTGGACGTTGCTTGATCGGCGTCGGAGAGTTTATCAACGACGGTAGACATTGCTGTTCGTGCGTTCGGTTGCTTATCTCGCCTCGGCGGTGAAAAGCGCACCACCTGGCATCTCATCGTGACATACTCGAAAGGGCCTCTCCCATCCCTGAGTGGCAGCTGCCACTGTGCGGCACCGATTTCTCCTGCCCGGTATTTACCAGGGCAAGCCCACTGAGGTATCGGCATCTCCATACCTCAGTATCGCGATAGCTTCATATGCGGGGGGAAATTATAGTCCCCAGTCCTAGAGACCCATCACCACGCTCCGTCTCTCCGCGTTCACCAATTCACTCCAGAAAATTCAAATATAAATGTACTCCACCCACGCTGCACGCGCCCGATGATTGTTAAACACGCTCCACGAGACGCGCTAAGCAATTAACGCTGCCCGCGTCACATGGAACACGTGTACACATAACACGTGCGAACACACGTAACACGTGCGTACACACGTGTATTCGGTATCGAATCCACGACTTCCTGTATACCACGCGAGGTAGTTAACATCTCTCCACGTGGAGACAGTCACTGGATTCGATCCATGAATCGATCTTTAAATTAAACGATAAATCGATCCACAGCTGTGAATGAAATCGCCGAATGGGAGATTCCAAGTTGCTCTCCCATTCCCCCCCCCCCGATCGAGTCACGCGATGGATCGTTCCAAAGACGTCACGAAAAACAGACCAACCGGATTGATGGTTTCGCGGCACGTGACGCCGGCGGTCCGCAGCGTCAACTTTTGGCGGGAAGCGAGCGATATCCTTGCCTGGACAGTGCCGCAAACTGTAGCAACATTAACAATAGAAGTGGCAACATAACGCTCACAACACAGCAGTAACAACGACCAGACGTCAATACATCGACATTACCTCAGCATATATACACATTCACTCAAAACCAACAAAATACCTGCACAAGCGTGAACGCAGTACGGTATCAATGTTAAACACAGGCACAGTAACGTCGGCGCATCATTACAATAACAACACAACAAAATAACAATCACATCAGCAAAACATCAGCCGATTCACGCGTCCAGCGACAGCAATAACGCAATATCAACACAACAACCACAACATTAACATTACCTCAATAACAACCACATCAATAACATTACCTCAAGATGAACATTACCTCAAGATGAACAACATTACCTCAATAACCACATAAACAACAACCACATAATTAACAACATTACCTCAACAACCACAACACTAACATCGCCTCAACAACAATATCCACAACATTAACGTCACCTCAACAACCACGACACTAACATCACAACCACATCATTAACAACATCGCCTCAACCACCATATACCGCTCACCACCACCACACTAATCCCACACACCACCACTACCACCACACACCACCACTACCACCACACACCACCACTACCACCACACACCACACTACCACCACTACCACCACACACCACTACCACACTACCCCCACACACCACCACACACCACCACACCACACTACCACCACACTACCACCACACCCCACCACTACCACCACACACCACCACCACACACCACCACACTACCCCCACACACCACTACCACCACACACCACCACCACTACCACCACACACCACCACTACCACCACACACCACTACCACCACACACCACCACCACACTACCACCACACACCACCACTACCACCACACTACCCCCACACACCACCACTACCACCAAACACCACCACTACCACCAAACACCACCACTACCACCAAACACCACCACACAACCACCACACACCACCACTACCACCACACATCACACTACCACCACACACTACCACTACCACCAAACACCACCACACACCACACTACCACCACACCACCACTACCACCACCACACACCACCACTACCACCAAACACCACCACACTACCCCCACACACCACCACATACCACACCACCACTACCACCACCACACACCACACCACCACTACCACCACACACCACCACACGCGATGTGCGCGCCTCCGCGCTCGCTGAGCGAGGTGCTCGCCACGCTCGAGGTCGCCCGGCTGGACGAGGCGGAGCTCCTCCCGGTCCCCCAGAGCCTCAGCTTCGCCCCGCGGGACGATGGAGGACGGCGGCGGCGGCTACGAGGTGGTGGTGGAGGAGATGGACGAGGAGGTGAGGGCGACGAGGAGGGCGAGGAGGAGGAAGACGCAATCGTCATCCTGGAGACGGACGAGACCCTCAGCGGTGAACTACGTGCGGGCCATAGGTGCGGTGGACACACAGAGACACTACAGTACTAACCACAGCACCAACTTATTAACCAACTCAACTATTGGTTTCATTTGCCAGGTGTAAGGCTCCACTGAGCTGTACATTTTGGCTGTGTGTTTTTAAGGGACCTGGCTATCGACGTAGCTGTTACAACCTATACGGCTTAACTCCGTATTACTCTTGTACAGGGCCATTGAGCTTTCGGGTCCATACGGGGTACAGCCGTTTCAATACGGGCACAAACATGTTTTTATCTTTGTTGATGTTTCTCTCCTTGTGATGGGACTTGGTAGGGTGAACATTGAGATTTATAAGGGCACGGGGTGACTAATAAGATCTGAATTTGTCTGTAATAAGGTAGGCACTGATAAGAGGTTGATGGGCATACTATCACAAACGATGGGTCCAACCCAAAGTGGCTTATCATCACCATCATCATCTTTGCGTGTAAATATATAGCAGCAGCCAAATTACATTGAACGCGTGCTGTGGATTCCTAAAATAGAGGGGGGAAAGAACCGAAGGAATCCGGAGGAAAAAGCTCCACGTGATCACGGAGAGAGACACGCAAACTATAAATATACAGCGGGCCTCTGGTCAGGGATTGAAACCACTTTTTGCTGTGTAGAAGGCGAGGGAGTTAGCATCTCCTAGCCAACGTGGCGTACCGTGCAGTACGACATTAGCAGCAGTACTCGTGTAGCCACGCATAGCAACATTCCTACGTCTTAAAGACCCCGGACCTCTCTCATATAGTCCACCTATTTTCTAAAAGACTCCACCTCTCCCATATAGGCCACCTCTTTCTTGAAAACCCCACCTCTCTCATATAGGCCACCTCTCTCTTAAAAGCCCCACCTCTCTCATATAGGCCACCTCTTTCTTGAAGAACCCACCTCTCATATAGGCCACCTCTTTCTTGAAGACTCCACCTCTCTCATATAGGCCACATCTCTCTTAAAAGCCCCACCTCTCTCATATAGGCCACGTCTTTCTTGAAGACTCCACCTCTCATATAGGCCACCTCTTTTGTAAAGACACCATCTCTCATATAGGCCACCTCTTAAAAGCCCACCTCTCATGAAGGCCACCTCTTTTGTAAAGACACCATCTTGCTCATATAGGCCACCTCTTTCTTGAAGACTCCACCTCTCATATAGGCCACCTCTTTTGTAAAGACACCATCTCTCATATAGGCCACCTCTTTCTTGAAGACTCCACCTCTCATATAGGCCACCTCTTTTGTAAAGACACCATCTCTCATATAGGCCACCTCTTTCTTGAAGACTCCACCTCTCATATAGGCCACACCTTTTTTTTAAAGGCCCCACTTTCGCCTGACTTTCGAGCCACACAGGTCCTGAATCTGTGCCTCAGAGCCACGCCCGTGGGTTCGATCCCAACCCTGATGCCTGCTATATATTTGGAGTTTTCGTGTCTCTCTCCCTGTGGACGCGTGGATTTTTCTCTGGGTCCTCTGGTTTTTCCCCTCCACAATTATAATTGTGCGTTCAGGGAATTTGGCTGCTATAAATTTCCACGTGATAAGCCGCTTCGTTGGGCTATCATTTGTGATGGCCAGGTCGCTTCTGAAAAAGTGCTACACAGCTCAGTGGTCCTTACCCAGTAAAATAAAAAAAATTGTTTTCATTTTTATTCTTCTCCTTGCCCCTACCGATGGGTGCGTGTACAGCCTGGTGATCCGGGGCGACGGGGAGGACCACGCGGTGTTGTGCACCGGCGACGCCACCTACGAGCTGCGTGCCGCCGACACCTCCAACCTGCTGCTGCTGCTGCCTGACGCTCGCACGGCCGACTCGCTCCGGGCGGAGGGGCATGCGGAGGCCCCCCGGCTGCTCACCGCTCACGTGAGCCCCCCGCACCCCCCCCCACTCACTGCACCGCATCATGGCGGCAGCTCGCATCGCGGATGTACAGTAGACTCTCGGCTATCCGCGTGCGTTTTATCCGATTTTCAGATTAACCGCGCACACAGACTTTGACAAAAAATATAACTCGTGGGTTTGGCCTTAAGCCCAAATTAAGAAGATAAAAAACAGTTATACATTGTTAATCTTTGAATTATTTACTACAAGTCACGTCCTTGAACTGAACAAATATGTTGGTCCGCCAATCTGAAATGCACATGATTGCTCCTGGAGTACAGTAGTTGCCATATCTTAACAACATTGGGTGGAGTTTGATTGATGTTGGTTGTCGTGACTCTGCTGTCATCCACTTTATGGGCCGAATCTTCTGCGCGTGAGCAGGAAAGTGTGATCACTAGGCAGGCGCTTCGACGGTCGATCGTTAGTATTCGTTCTAAATTTATACCCCTATATTCATGGTTTTTGGCATAGAGATCCATGGAAAATTAGAATATTTTTAGATTACCCGCGATTTTTTTATTATCCGCGGCTGTCCTCCCCATACAGAGCTAACTTCTTTTGCACCGTATGTAGCCAACCATGCTAATCGGAGGTTCTAAAGAATTGAGTTTTCGGTCTAGATAATTTAAAAGCCCATAGCTCCAGTGGCTTTGTAATATCGGAAGGAAGAGCGTACCAGACGGCCGCATCATCAACATCCCCACCATCAACGTCAACACCCCCCACTTTCTCATCATGCAAGTACCTCCTCAACGTCATCCCCACCAACATCGTCACCACCACCATCACCACCATTCTGGATGTATGTGCGTTGAACTTCTTTTGGACCGTACGTGGCCATCGCGCTTATCAGAGGTGCGAGGGGAAAGAGAACAAAACTAACCACAAAAAGCAGATATAAAGAAATTAATTTTCAATCTAGTTGATTGAAGAGTGCATAGCTCTCGTGACTTCCTAATGTCGGATGAAGAGCATTCCAGATGTCCGCATCATCAACATCACCACCATCAACGTCAACATCCCCCACTTGCTCATGCAGCTACCTCAGCATCACCACCACCATCAACATCATCACCACCATCATCACCACCATCGTGTATCGATGTATGTTGAACTTCTTTCACACCGTACATAGCCAATTGTGCTAATCGGAGGTGCAAGAGTAGCCTGGGGGAGAGGGGGGGAGCGCCGGGCTATGGGTGGGTGAACCAGCGGATGCAATGCGTGACAGCTTTAATCACCCAGACTTAGACGGTGACCAAATTAAATCCACATTAACTAAGGTATGACTAAACGTCCGCGGGTTGGTCGAGAGTCGACCGGACTAAAACTGTGACTAAAGTAAGATTTGCCGGCTGCACTAACACTTGGTGGCGTGTGGGGGGGGGGTGCGGTAGGTGTTCGGGTTTGCCAACAGCTACCTGGAGGTGAGGCGCTGCCGGCCTCGACTCAAGAAGCTGCGGAGCCTCCTGGGGGAGTGCCCCTTCAGCGGGCCCGAGAATGAAGCGCAGTATGAGGGGCAGCAGAAGGCACGTGGCAGCTTCGCACGCTGCGGATTCCCACATTCCTGTGCCGGGGGACCTGTACAGTCACTGCTGATGACTTACTCCCGCCAGCAGCCACACCTCACCCAACCACCAACAATCTTTACAATCGCCCCACTGGTCAACTGCTCAGTTGAACACGTAGTAGGCTTTCACGTCCAACATTATCCACAATAGAGGTGTTTTGGGTTAGATCGCGTAAATATAAATGTGTCATTAAGCCCGCCACCATCACCCGACATGGCCAATTAATCAGGGTTTGTCACGTAACAAAATGTGACAATTAGTTACTATTTCAGTACACCGGTTGTTGGAGCGCAAACCCACAGCATTTACAATTAGAGTACGACCTTTTTGCTGATAATTATAACCAGCTTCATCAGGCGATAAGTCCGGCTGCTACCATCCACACCCCACGCCACCACCACCACACTAAACGTTTCCCAAGAGTGTCCCAAATGCATGTGCCTGCGTTTTAATCCGTGGTTTGTGATGTCTGTGCATGACTAAATGTATTTGGCACAGAGGGATTACTGCATCTGAACTGGAACCAAAGGGTGACCAGCGTAGAAGTTAGAAAAAAGGTTGCCCCTAGAAGAAGACGACTTTGTGATGCGGGCAGTAATATGAGCAGGAAACTGGCACGATTTGGACACATATATAGGATGGAAACAACAGGAAAATTAAAAGTGTGCCATTAAGAAAAATGGAAGGAACCAGAAAGAGAGGAATACCTAACGGAGAATGGCGTGACGATGACATTATAAGAGATTGGTGACAAAAAGATGTGGTGCACTACTTGAGCATATTGGCACAGTAGACAGTGGAAAGTGGAACAAATGACGACATGGGCAGTGGACACCTACGGGCTATCTGCACCATGGATCGTGATGATGTGATGATGACGATGTCCGTGTGTACACGTGTGTCCGTGTGCAGTACACGACGGCCGATCTGCTGGACAGGGTGCAGGCGAGCGAGGTGGAGCTGCAGGCCGGCCTCAAGGCCCTCAACGCCTGCCAGATCGACGGTGAGAGTGTCGGCGGTGTACGATGAATAATCTGAACCGGTCCTGGGCCTCCCCTATGTTTGACTCGGCATTAAATGAGTACCTGGTACGGTGTGTAAACAATCGGTAGCCAGGGAAATAAAGCGCAGCTGGACGTGGAGTTGGCATCACACCATCCCTGCTTTTGCAGTCCCGGCCGCTAACAGAACCCTTGGCCAATCTGATAAGGCTATTGGGGATGTCTTTGCTGCCCCACCTTCCCTTGGACAGAGTATAACAGGGAGGAAAAGTTAACGTGACGGTGTTTTTGCGTCGTCTTTGGCGACCGGGCTGAGACCATCGTCTCACTGCGCTTGAGAAACCCGATTTAATTGCCTCTCAAGGCCACAATTAGAACCCGTTTGAATCAAGCGAGGTTATTGTTGAGAGAGTGGAGCGGTACGAGGTAAGAAACGGAAAGAAAAGTGTTTGGTCTTGTGCTGCCGTGTCACCAGTTCACATTTTATTTTGTGTTACCAGGTGGTGAGGATTCAATATCTAGAATGAGTTTTAATTTCTTTAGAACTGTTTGTTGTGTTTAGTTTGTTGTCCTTCCCCCCCCCCCCCCCCACCTTCGATCAGCGCGATCGGCTACATGCGGTGCAAAATACGTTTAACATACATACATACATGATGGTGGTGATGTTGAGGAGGTACCTGCATAATGATGAAGTGAAGGATGTTGACGTTGATGGTGGTGATGTTGATGATGCGGCCATCTGGAACTCTCTTCCTTCCGATATTAGGAAGCCACTGGGATCTATGCACTTTAAAATCATCTGTATTAACGAATTAATTTCTGATTTAAAGCTTTCGTGACTACAGGGATTCATATTCTTGGTTCTTTCGGTAAAGTCACGTAGAAGGGAAACAATAAAATAATAAAAATATAAAACAATATAATTCTCACAACGTTTCGACTGCAACACAAGCAATCATCATCAGGTGATAAAAACCACAGCAAGAAAATTTGAAAAAAGTGGCTTTTTTAACGTTAGCACCACGGAGAGCGATTTGGCAGTTATTCAAATGAAGAAGGACCCTCTTGAGGAGCCATTCAAAACTATCACTTTACCCTACATTGCGGGGATCACAAAAAATATCTCCAAAATCTTGAATAAACACAAGATCCAGGTCCGATTCAACACATTACATAAAATCTGTGATCTGGTTGCATCTGTAAAATATGTGATTCCGGACATACAGTACTCTGGCGTCTACAAACTAAGTTGCCTCTGTGGTAGTAGTTGCATTGGAGAAACCAAACGACATGTCTCGGACCGCATCCGTGAACACAAAGCAGACCTGAAACACGGTAGGACCAACACCTCGGCCGTAGCAGATCACTGTTATAATTCAGTAGGCTCACATGACATTGACTTCTCCAAGACAGAGGTTCTCTGCAAGCCATCTGGCTATCATGAGAGATTCGTTCATGAGGCTATCCACATATACAAACACAGACAATTTCAACCGAGAAGATGGATTCTGGCTTAGAAATCATTGGAAGGTTTTGATAAACCATTTCTGGTCTTAATTGATTGTTCACGCTTATGGTGGCTTTCAGACCGCATCCATTATTTTCGTCTCCTCCCTCTTTTCCGAACATAGATGGACTCGTCCATCTGAACAAACTGCCAAATCGCTCTCCGTGGTGCTAACGTAAAAAAGCACCACTTTTTTCAAATTTTCTTGCTGTAGTTTTCACACCTGATGATGATTGTTTGTGTTGCAGTCGAAACGTCGTGAGAATTTTATTGTTTTATATTTTTATTATTTTATTGTTTCCCCTCTACGTGACTTTACCGAAAGAACCAAGAATATGAATTAATTTCTTTATAACAGCTTTTTGTGTTTAGTTTGTTGTCATTCCCCCCGCACCTCCGATTAGCACGGTGGGCTACGTACGGCGTGAAAGAAATTCAACACACAACATGCATATCAGGGTAGTCTCATTTGCAAGAGTGATGTGGGTCACCGCAATGACAACAGCATAAATAATATAATAAATTAAGTCTGTTCTATTACGCAGTGGTAGTTGGGTTCCTGAAGAACATAGAGGGTAAAGCACGGTCCACAATAACCCCGTGAGATGCGTAACGCAGGCGGAGCAAAGACCAAGGCGCGTGGGTAACATCTAGAAGCAGCATCCAGAAGCAGCATCCAGCAGCATCCCAATGCCTTGTGTGGCGATGACGATAATAATAATGCTACACCGAGGCAGCAGCCTTTACAATCGCTGGCAACGTAGTTCCGTTTGCTCGATCGTATTCTATACAATTTACGTTATATAAAAATGCATTCCCTTAATACATTCATCATCATCGCGTTATATCTCCAAGTCGTGTTCTGAAAACAACACGTGGCATTATAAGGAGAACAGACTGTACGCAGTTTGTACGTTGAGTACGTTATTCTCTCACTATCACAATGTACTCAATTTGAATTCAGTGATACCCCGATTTACGTCTCTCCCCTTTTACGTCCTTTCGCAAAACTACGTCGTCACTTTTATCATGAAGCGTGCAACGACGCTTTGGCCGAGGCAGCGGCCGTCATAGCCGCCTCATTTCTAACTCGTGCGTGACCCTAGTTCCATTCGCTTGATCGCGATCTATCCGATTCGCCATGATGAAAACAATGCGTGACGTTTATAGGCAGAGTTCGACTTCTATATTTTAGACTTTCTATATCGCTTTGTCCCTCACATTGGGAATCGCGGGTGGATATAATCAATGTACAGGGACTCCTCTACTTACGAACGAGTTAGGTTCCAGAGTTACAACTTTACTCCTGTCGATTCCAAACATGTTGTACAGTGTGTACACTGAACATGGGGAAATGGCTTTAAAAGTTGTACAATCTCATGTAGATGCCACTGGTTCTTCATGTTCTGCAGATGTAGATGCCACCACCGCCATCTATTGCGCGGCGGTTCAACTTACAAACTCTCGGTCCGAACAGGCAACTGGACATACGGACAGGTTTGTTCGTATCTCTTAAAGTTCGTAAGTCAAATGTTTGTAAGTAGAGGAGTGCCTGTATCTTTCAATCTTAAAAGTAAACTACTGAATTTTATTGATAAAGGTGCCCAGTTTGGGTGGGGTGTTGCCCCCTCCACCCCCTGCGCCCCCAAAAACTCCGCCCTTGTGCCGCGGCCTTTCTAGGAGAACAGGCTACACCGCGCAGCGATGACGCGGATAGAAAATGGGAGTGGGGAAAGAAAAAACAACGCAAACTGTGCCGCCGACAGGGCGCTGGCGGATGCTCGACTTGGACTACGAGATGCGGCTGCTGAGCCTCCTCACGCAGCTGGTGGACTCGGAGTCGTGGAGCTTCCGCCACGTGCCACTCCGCGTCTGCCTGGACGAGCTAGAGGTGCTGGAGCCCAGGTGAGAAGGAGGCAGCTCTCCTGCGCTCGGTGGCTCCTCCGCTCGGTGGCTCTGATTGGTGGCTCTGATTGGTGGCTCTGCTCGGTGGCTCCTCCGCTCGGTGGCTCCTCTGCTGGGTGGCTCCTCCGCCGGGTTGCTCCTCCGCTCGGTTGCTCTTCCGCTCGGTGGCTCTGATTGGTGGCTCCTTCGCTCGGTGGCTCCTCCGCCGGGTGGCTCCTCCACTCGGTTGCTCCTCCGCTCGGTGGCTCTGATTGGTGGCTCCTTCGCTCGGTGGCTCCTCCGCCGGGTGGCTCCTCCACTCGGTTGCTCCTCCGCTCGGTGGCTCTGATTGGTAGCTCCTTCGCTCGGTGGCGCCTCCGCTCGGTGGCTCCTCCACTCGGTTGCTCTTCCGCTCGGTGGCTCTGATTGGTGGCTCCTTCGCTCGGTGGCTCCTCCGCCGGGTGGCTCCTCCACTCGGTTGCTCCTCCGCTCGGTGGCTCTGATTGGTAGCTCCTTCGCTCGGTGGCGCCTCCGCTCGGTGGCTCCTCCACTCGGTTGCTCCTCCGCTCGGTGGCTCTGATTGGTAGCTCCTTCGCTCGGTGGCGCCTCCGCTCGGTGGCTCCTCCACTCGGTTGCTCCTCCGCTCGGTGGCTCTGATTGGTGGCTCCTTCGCTCGGTGGCGCCTCCCCCGGGTGGCTCCTCCGCTCGGTGGCTCTGCTCAGTCGCTGCACTTGAGGGATTAATTTGGGTCGCGGCTGTCCCCCCGTCAGTGACACGAAAAGTTCAGAATCAGAATATTTATTGAAACTGGTGGAATCCATTGAGCTATAAAGCTCTCTTTCACAGATGTCCAAATTATTTCCACACCCGGCAGATCACCTCCAGTATACTTAAACAATTTTTATTTTAACAGCTAAGGGCCACTGAGCTGTATCGCTCTTTTTTTCGAAGCGACCTGGCCACAAATGATAGCTAAATGAAGTGGCTTATCACGTGAAAATTCACAGCAGCCAATCACTCTAAACACGTGATGGTGATTCTAAATGTGGAGGAAAAAACCGGAGGTCTCGGAGAAAAATTCACGCGACCACGGAGAGAGAGAGAGAGACGCGCAAACCCCAAATATACAGCAGGCGTCAGGGTCGGGATTAAACTCACGACCTGTATACCAGGCAATGTGGTTAACATCTCGACACTGTGGCGCCCCATCTCGCTATGGCTGTGGCTGCTGCTGCTAGTCACATGCCACCTACTCCAGACTACCAGTGACCCGTAAAATATTCAGTAATAAATTAACCCCGAAAAAAATTAAGGCTTGCCCAGTAACATCGATTTCCACATACATGTAAACAAACATTTAAAATGGAATAAACACTGCATAAAAACACACATGGAAGCAGATTACACTCGTAAATACTGTTGGCTTTGGTTGTTGGGGCAGTCTTCAGCATAAAACCCGATTAAGTTTTCTTATTTGGGTCTTTCGGTAAAGTCACGTAGATAGGTTCAAAGAAAAGAACAAAACAAAAACTACGACGTTTCAATCGCAACACAAGCGGTTGTCTTCAGGAAAAGGGGGGTTAGCTTCCAAAGGCAAACTATTTATAAGGGTCTGAAATGGGCGTAGCCCAAATGTCAACAGCCAATGATAATGCAAGTGGTGGGCAGCCAACCCGACAGTGGTTGGTTTCCCACCAATCAAAGGGCTGCCAGGTAAAAATTAGCATGTTAATGAGAGATTATTAATGAATTCCTGCAGTCACCAAAGCTTTAAGTCTGATTAAGTTTGTGTATGGGTGTGAACATATACATGTCGCCACGGTGGCGAGATGTTAACTACGTTGCCTGTTATGCAGGAGGACGTGGGTTCAATTCCGATCCTGATGCCTGTTGTATATTTGGAGTTTGCCTGTTCTCCCCGTGGTCATGTGGATTTTTCCAAGGGTTCTCCAGTTTTTCCCTCCACATTTAGAATCCACGTGTAATTTGTGTTAAATTGTACTGCTGCACACTAGTGTCGAGTGCGGTATCGTTAACGTAACGTCGTGGGTGCGTCTAGGGCGAAGGCGTTAACGCAGCGGCGTCACCGTACGACCTCCATTGTCTCCGTTCGCGCGGGGAAAAAGAAATGTCTTTGACGCCACTCCGACGTTCGTGGTCGTCGGCACCGTTTCAGTGAACGTATCCCTGCTCGGCGGCCTTGCTGCTCTATTAATGGATCGCGTGCGAGGAGTGTGGAGCTGGATAAAAGCGACGCGTCTCTGGTGTTTGCCGCCTTTTTCCAGGGACATGATTGAGCACTGCCTCAACTGCTACGGTGAAAGGACAGACGAAGAGGAAGGTGAGGTGTTTTTTTCTTCTTTGAGGGTTGTGCAACTATAACCCCACTTTGTTTCAGGCTTTTACACAGATACGTTTGGCCATTCAAACGTAAAGGAAAGTTGAATATCAATTGCAATGGTACGACACTTCGTGGACATTCTTAAAACTAAACTATTTTTTATTTTACCAGGTAAAGCCCCCCCCACTGAGCTATGTAGCTCTTTTTCAGAAGCGACCTGGCCATCACAAATGATATCCCCCAAAGTGGTTTATCACGTGGAAATGTTTAGCAGCCAAATACTCTAAACGCTTGAGGGAAAAACCGGAAGACCCGGAGAAAAATCCACGCGACCACGCGAGGACATGCAAACTCCAAATATACAGCAGCAGGTGTCAGGGTCAAAATCAAACCCACGACCTCCTGTAGACCAGGCCAGGTAGTTAACATCTCACCACCATGGCGAGAATCTTAATAATAAAGGTTTTTGGGTTATATCGCGTTATTTATAAATGTGTCGTAACCCTCCACCACCCGACACGGCCAATCAGCAAATAAAGTGTCACGTTGACAAAAGACAAATAATTCACTACTTTAGCCCACCGGTGTGTTGAAGAGTGAATCCACAACATTTACAGTTTGAGTACGACGTTTCGCTGGTAAATACATCCAGCATCATCGGGCAATTCGCCAGAATGGTAAAGCCCTCGCATCCGTGCTGTCGACTCCCTGGCTCTGTTCAAGTCCAGGCTCGCGACCTCCCTCTTCTGCTCTGCCTATGACCAACCGACTGCCTCTCTGTATAGAATGAACATGCCCACTGCTGCTTCTGTAGTGTCCTTTGAGAGGCTTTTTTAAATCCACATATTATTAACTCTTTCCCGTTCATGTGAGTCATACATTTTTCTTCTGATTCCATTTCGATGACGTACGTGTACTGCATGCACATCATCGGAATGGAATCGGAAGTAAAAGGCCATGCGGAAAGGCGTGTGGCAGAGTTTGGCGCCAGCTATCGTAGAGTACGGTTGTGACGCTACAGTTCTCTGTGGTGAGCAACAATGTCTTTAAAAACAGCGATGCTATGCCTCTCTAAATAAAACTAACGCCAACCGCTCGTTTCAAGAATCAGCGGTGAACGGGAAACCCACCCTGCAACTTGCAGATGTCTCGGAGCGGGAAAAGGGTTAATTGTATGTAAATGTTCACATTGTGTTCTGTAGACGCACGCAGAGTCTATGGACTCGCATGTCCACAGAGACCCATTGACTTTGCACAGAGATGCGGTTGCATTCCGAAGTTATAGAAATCCACATTGTGTTGTGCCGTATGCCGGCTGGTGTGGCACCCCATTCTCCCTTTGCTGTGCAGGCGGGGTGGCCGGGGCGGTGTACTGGCTACACAAGGACAGGGTTTGCCTCTCCCCCCTTGCCGTGTAGGCGGTGCGGCCGAAGTGGTGTACTCGCTACACGAGGACCGGGTGTGCCGCGCCCTCGCCGTGATGCTGCTCAAGGGCTGCGTCAAGTTCAACCTGGCTGAGTTCTGCGACGTGTGGAGGCAGAGCGTGCCCGAGGGCATGGACGCTCAGCTGGGACAGCTGCAGGTGAGTGGTTCTGCCGCCCTCCCTCCAATCCAAGACCCGAGCTGTCTGATCGTTGATTGTACGGGCAGTCCTCGACTTACGAACACCCCCCACTCACGAACTCCACCCCCCACTCACGAACGCCACCCCCCACTCATGAACGCCACCCCACACTTACGAACGCCACCCATACTTACAAATGTCCGCGCTTACGAACTCTGGCAGTCTCTCTCTCCCCGAGTCGTCCTCTCTCTCTCTCCCCGATTCGCCCTCTCTCCCTGAGTCGTCCTCTCTCTCTCCCCGAGTCGCCCTCACATCTGTTCTGGCGGTGCTCAGGGCGTGGCGCTGGTGGAGCGTGCCGCTCGACCGGAGGTGATTTCCTTGCTGCGGGTGGAGGACCTCCCCGACGATCCCCAGGAGCGCTTCTCCAAGCTCTTCAGCCTCCGCGACAAGTGGACGGAGGAGGATATCGCCCCCTACGTCCGGTGGGTGACTCCTCTGGGCGACTCTTCCCCTCCCCGCCAATGCTCCCACGTGCCCGGTTTAACACATAGTAGTAGTAGTAGTTCAGAGGCTTTCGTGACCAATATCCACACTAGAGTTGGGGTTTTTTTGGGGGGTTAGATCAGGTGAATATGAATGTGTCGTGCAACCCGCCACCACCACCCGACACATGGCCAATTTAGTAAGGGGTTTGTCACGTGAACAAAACCGTGCCAATTCATTACTCGTTCAGCGCTTCACCCGGTTGTGTGTTGGAGAGAGCGTGGCTCACCCATTATTGTGTTTAATTATCGTAGTCGCTGAACACACCACAGACCTCCGGGATGGCCTATGTAATACAATCACATTCTGTAAACTTTGCTGTGTGGGAAATGTTTTGTGGACAGCAACTGGGCATCGGGAGAAGTGAACTCTCTTTTGTGTGAATTTCCCGGCTCCTGTGGAGGGCTGCTTTGACCGAGACTGCCTCCCCCACCCACCACTCCCCTCCCCCACCCCACTGTGCCCTTCGCCCCCAGGGATCTGTGTGCGGAGAAGCAGAGCGTTTCAGCGCTGCTCACCAAGCACGCTCGCTCCTCCATGCACAACGGGGTCAAGGTGTTCAACTCTCGCCGCTCCGTGTCGTGAGGACCGCCGCAGCCGGGACTACGGGGGGGGGGGGGGCCCGGCCTATGGGGGGGCCCCCAGTACGCCCAGGAGAAACGGGACAGAAAAACGGGAGGCAGGGTAGGCGGGAGATTGCCGCTGTACCCCAACGAGCTTTTTTTTTGTGCCGGTGCGTTTGGTTGGAAGGGCGCCGCTGAAAGTCAAAGGGGGTCAGTGACGCAGGCAAATGAATTTCGCAGGAGAAACCGGACAACTGTGCGTCAGTACGGCTCTTCTAGGATACCCAACAAGGCAGTGATCTTCGCTAATTTTCAGAGGGGGGGGGGGACACATTGGCCGATAAGACATCAATTGGTGTGAGTGAGGGCCACCACATATTTTAAACCATTGGGGGTTTGACAGCAGCACGATGATGATGGGGGGGTAGGAGGTTGTTTTCACATTTTGTTGTGTATTGTCGGGGGAGAGCCGCACGTCAGGGAGCCGCACTGAAGGCCACCCAGGGGCCGCCAGTGGGTCCACGGTGGCCTTGCAATGAAGAACACTGGAATAAGGCCTACGACCAAATCACCCGAGATGCGGCCCGATCTCGGCAACCAAGTTGGGATTTGGGCCTGGATAGCACTCGGATGGGTGGCCACCTTATGCAAACATATCTTCTCGAACACATCATCTTCTTCGTATGGCTGATGTTGATGGGGAGACTGTTTCTAAAAAGATGTTGGGCTTCCTGTCCAACTCCCCCTTGTTGAATTTAGTTTCAACCGAGTTAGACCAACATGGTTCTGAGAAATAAATGTACGAATAAGGAACATCAATATTTTAATAAATTGTCCATTTTGCAGGTTTATCCTAACTAGCTACTAACTGCAAGCGAATAAAAAAATCAACGGACGACTTTGCGTGCGTAACGTCATTTGTTCACGCTCGCTGGGTTGCTCTTGAAAACCAACCTTGCTTTACTATCAACGAGTTTAGAAAGGTCTTTGACATCGTTCTAGGTTACCATATCAATACAATTTTTATCACATTAATTTTTTTATATTGGAAGATTCATATATGATTATTCACCAATGACTCATGCGCGCTATAATTTCACGCATAAATCGGCTCGCGTTACCCCCTGGGACATTGCCGTATGTTACCCCCCCCCCAACCCCGTTTGAGAAGTACTCGTGTAACAGAGCAACAACCGTGATGTTACATTGAGGTGGCCGAGCCGGATAATTGCGTCGTGAGTAGCGGAGTGAACTTACCGTGTCTGTGAATCAGCCATTCAGTCTTCGTCATGGTTCTATTGTGTGGGGAGCTGTGGGTGCAGCGGTTCGCGCTGCGCTACAAAACTGGCGACCCGAGTTGGATTTATGCTCATGGCCAACAACCAGTGACAATTATCTGAACTGGTCCTGGGCCTCAAATGAGTGCCTGGTGCGGTGTGTAAAAACATCACTGGGGAGACAAAGGCGGCTGAGCATGGTGCTGGCCACACTCGTGTGCTGTTCCGGCCTTCATCGCTGCTCGCGAACAGCACTTGCCCCAATAGTATGTTAAGGTTATACGGGATACCTTAGTCGTTTTGTTTTGGGCAATCGCAGCCGATGATGTCACGTGTACGACGTCACCGGGAGGAAGGGGGGGGAGCTGTTCCGTCGCAAGCTGTCAAGGACAACAACTTTCAGCATCCGGAGTTTGGGGCGGGACCCTACGGTAAATTTTCGTGCGGTTTTCTCAAACAGCGACGTCTTCAACGCTCACGGTTCGCCCACAGCGGATTATCTCAATGAGAGTTTATTGTTGCCGGAGGCAGTGCGTTAACGCTTTTGATCTCGACATCTGAAGCATTTGAGAGAGAGAGAGAGCGAAAACTGCACACCGCTGAGAAAAGACTCGATAGTTTAATGAGATTGCATTCCACTTAAAACCGTTTCGCTCAAAGCTCGTCACGAAGTTGAATTTACAGCAAACTGCAACGCCCGATTTGGTAAACGTTATTAAGGCGTTGCGCTGCCATGCAATACGATTACCCGCGTTGGGGGGGTGGGGTGGGAACACGCATGGGAAAACATTGAACTCTTTCCCGCTCCGAGGCATCCGCAAGATGCAGGGTGGTGGGCGTCACATTCACCGCCGAATCTCGGAACGCGCGAACGGCTCGGCGTTAATTTTACTTAAGGGAGGCGTAGTAGCGCCGTTGTTTTTAGTTTACATTGTTACCGCTGATAACTGTAGTGACACGACCGCTGCCACTACGATAGCCGGCGGCCAAACTGTACCACACACGGCCCTCCAGCATGGCCTTGTGGGAGCCTCGGTAACGATAACGTGATTATATTTCAGTTTTTCTTAAATTAACACTCGGCAATAGAATTGGACGAAAAACTCATGACGTGTACGTACGTATGCACGTCATCGGAACGGGAAAGGGTCAATGAATACGGTACACTTACAGAAGACGGCACAACATCACACTTAAATTAACACTCGGCAATACGGTTCGCACGGTGAGCAATCCCGATGGATTCGTAATGGTCTATACGGTTCCCCAGAGCACGTGACCGTTAGCCACACTACTCGGCTGCTCCTGACGCGGCTGTCTGGCTTGACCACCGGAATGTGAAATTGTCGTTGCTCTGCATCTACGTCAGCCGTACGACAAGAAAAAGATCCACACACCTGCCCCATAACATAACGCACCACGATCGACAGCTGCTATTTAACAATGAACGAAGGCCCCCTTTAAATTCATCGCTTGCAAGGCAGTTCAGTCAATCCCTAATTTGTAGTAGTTTTAAGTCAGCGGGTCAGTTAGGCTGGTCAGCAACGACAGCACAAATAAAAACACGCATCACATTCTGGTTGTGCACTTAAGTTGGTGAAATTACAGCTCTTGAGTATTAAAACTAGCGGTTTGTCCGTGGCACGACGAACATTCACTCTGGTGTGGCAGATCGAGTGGCAAGTGGCTGCCCCCACAGCATACCAGAGAGGTCACTCGGAGGAATCTCAGAGGTAGCTCTTTGATATCTGCTTCGGCGGGCCGTTCACCAAGGTGGGAAGTGAGATGCCCTCTATTCTGTGTGGATTTCAGAGGTAGCTCTGTGATGTCCGCTTCCGCATGCCGTTCACCAACGTGGGAAGTGAGATGCCCTCTAATCTGTGTGTGGATTTCAGAGGTAGCTCTGTGATGTCCGCTTCCGCATGCCGTTCACCAACGTGGGAAGTGAGATGCCCTCTTGTGTGTGGGTCTTGGGGGGTAACTCTGCAACGTCATTCGCTTCCGCGAGGTCGTTCAGGAGATGTCTATCTCATGCCGCCAATAGCACAATCGGGATAAACTTAGGGAAGAATTTGCAATATTCTCTCTCTCAAGTCTTTATTTCCAGGTGATAACTAAATTTGGGATTTGTTAGATTCCGTGAAAACCATGTCCTCGTGCTGATAATGTGACGAAGTCATTTTTTGGCATCACGCCACGCTTTGGAAATTCCCAGAGTAAATGGGTTAGATCGCGTGAATATAAATGTGTCGTTACACTCACCACCACCACCCGACACAGCCAATTATTAAGGTTTGTCACAAAACAAACCGTGCCAATTCGTTATCAGTACAGCACACCGGTGTGTTGGAGAGTAAACCTACAACATTTACAAATCGAGTGACGTTTCGCCAGTAATTACAACCAGCAGCACAACTCTGGCTGTCGCCTGATGCAGGTTGTAATCATTGGTGACATGTCACTGTACTCGAAATGCTTCAGTGCATACCCACCGATGTCTGTCGGTGAGCCCCAAGCTTGTGCTCGGTAATTGACAAGCAAATCAGGTGGTGTGGAATTATGCGTGAAACTAAACTACTTTAAATCGGCAGACCGTCTGGCAAAATGACACGGTTATTACAGCAACACATACAAATTTAAAAAACACATTTTTTAGCCAAACTTGAGTGTACGGGCTAAAATCGCCATTGAACAACAACAGCGTGTAGAGAATGGGTGTGTGCAATCCGACCACTGCACCACTCTCCGTATTAACTTTAACGACTCGCAGAATGGAGCGGTTGCTATGGTACCCAGTCGAAGTCGCACGAGTTCTATTCCCAGTCCCTGTTAACATTGGTTGCGATTGATATATGAACGGGTCCCTGGCCACCCTCCCCACCCATCACAAAAGCCTGGTGAAGTATGGTCAAACAACCCCCATGACCGAGAGAGCGTGGCGGGGGGGGGAGCATTAATCGGGCAGTGGATTGGCAAATGATTTCCCACATACCCACACATTAGTAACAGCATTTCGGATCGATTTTAATTTTAACAAGAAAAATAACCTAAACGCATCCCGCTGCCGATATTGCGTTTCTGTCGACGACGCAAGACGGAGTGTAAACGTTACGCGCAAAAGGTTATTCATAGACGGCAAAAGGTGCGTTATTCACGAACTGGGCTGTCCACGGATTTCAGTTATCCGCCACTGCATCGAGAGACGGAGAGAAAGAAAGTGATGAGAATGTGATGAAATAAGGCAAGCTCATTTATAAACTATTATTTAATCCTTCACTATTTATTGTTTATTATAACCAATTAAAATTGTGTTACGATAATCGTCACGTATTTAATAGCTCATGTATTTATTTAAGGTAGATAATTTAAAAGGTTTTCGTGGGCCAATATCATTGTCCGTGAAATCTGCTACTCGCAAGCATCTCCAGAAACGTTTCCCTCGCCGCGAATAACGAGGCAGTGCATGCAGTACCGTGGCATCACGTGACACGCGCATCGCAGGAAGACCAATCTTGTGGTCACAATCGCATCTCTCTCATGTCGAGAAATCACATTTTGCGTGCTATTACCCCCATTTACCGCTCACGATTCATTCTCCAGCCCCTGCATGAACGTGCTCTGTCCGATGAGTTTTCCCCGTCGTAAACGGAGAGCGTTAGAATTGGTTTCAATATTAGTGGAGTAGAACCCCCTGTTAACGACGAATCGCTTAATGACGGGCCTCCATAGAGCCCAATGTGTTCGCTTACCGACAATTCCCCTGTTAATGGCGTGCTGTTGTAGGTACAGTGAACATTAATGCTTTAAGCCTTTTTTTATATACTATGTGTTTATCATTTTGTTAGTATCTTCATGTATTAATATAAATTGTTTAAGTATTATAAAGTACGTATTTTTTTGTAAAAAAGAGGTAACTTTCGATGTTATCGGAACGAATTAAGCCTTTAACGTGCATTTCCTATACTCGCTTAATGACCAAATCACTTAACGGCCGGTTTTGTGGAACCAATCACTGTCGTCAAGAGGGGTTCTATCGTATTGTGCATTAGATTAGGCGGGGGCGGTGGCCGTGCGGTAGCACGTTGGCTGCCCCGTTGCACATGTTCGTGGTGCAAACCCAAGCGGCCGCCCTGGTTTTACTGCCGCGAGATGTTAAGTACTTCGCCTGATATACAGGAGGTCGTGGGTTCGATCCCGACCCTGACGCCTGCTGTATATTTGGAGTTTGCGTGTCTCTCTCATCATCATCACGGTGGCTCGGAGATGTTGACTACCTCGCCTGGTATTCAGGAGGTCGTGGGTTCGATCCCGACCCTGACACCTGCTGGAGTTTGCGGTGTCTCTCTCTCCGGGTCCTCCGGTATTTTCCCCTCCGCATTTCGAATCGACGTCACGTTTAGAGTATTTGGCTGCTGCTAGACAGCTGGATGAGGGCATCCTCCCCCCACACTGTGCAGGCCGTTGGGGGAGGCTACTTGACCATACTTCGCCACGCCGGTCACTGGGTTAGTGAAACTGGGGGGCAAAGGACGTGGGGGCATATAACTGCAACACAACAATGAATTTGACCAAATGTCCCGAATGGAGCCCAGCAGCCACCTGGACGACAACCCCATGATGCATCGTGGTCACCCATCCGCAAGCGCACGCACGCCTGCTGAGCGTCCGAGATCTGACGAGATCGGGCACGATCCTGGTGACATGGTCACGAGGATGGTGTGTCAGCTGTAGTATCGTTTGTAAAATACCATCATGCACAGCTGTGTATCCATGCACGTGCAGCAACACGGTAGTACGCGGGGTTGTAACAAACATCGACGATGGTTTTTCATGCAGGTTCCGTCCAACTACTCTTTGATGACGAATGCGCGACAGGGCAAGGGAATTTTCTTACCGAGGAGCTACGTTTCATTCCCGATAACGCTCACCACGAGCGTTTGTCCCGGGGGCAGGAGCTGGGCCGTCTTTGACTTTTTTACTGGGGCCTCATCAGGGAGAATGTGGCCCCCGAAAAGCCAAAGCCCACCTCTGGTCTCGCCGTCACGAGTTTGGGGGGGGGGGGTCTCAGGAAACCTGCCCATCTTTGTGCCGCATTTGAGATCTCAATTCTCAAAACGCAGCAGGAGCCTCGTGCCAAAAACGAACGGCGTGCGCGGTATGCAGCAAAAACGGCGACAACGACGAATCACGTGGTCGCACAGAGCTGGGCAGTAGTTCTACTTGTTGGGCCGAACGCGAACGTAGGCTTCCTGCCACCGATGACATCGACCGCTCCATTTAAGACCGAAACGGGAGGAGGAATTCTCCACAATTGTGGCCGGTGCCTAGCGAGGCTGGCTGGTTGTTGTTGTGGTAATCACCGGTGAAACGCCGCGGTTACTCGTATTGTGAAGGTCTTGGGTTTTTTTTTACTCTCCGACACACACACACAATCGGTGTGCCAAACAAATCAAAACTACAATCGGCACGTATTGTTTGCGCGGGCGAACCTCGCCAAATGGTCCGTGACGCGCGGCGGCGGGTTTAACGGCGCACTTATAATAATAATTCTTTGTTTTTTTAAATTCACTTTCACCGGTGGCGTTTTGGCGAGTCGTTCCCCCACCCGCCCCCCCCGCTCTCTCTGCCGTACGCGAATGCACGAATCCCACCCACCCCACCCCCCGCGTACGCAACGCGCGCCGGCTGGATTGCAGCAAGCGGCCCAAACAGCACCGCCCCGGTTTCTTAAACGCCGGCACTATTGCACATTGCCGTTTAACTCTCGCAGTTGTCCTGAACGCGTTTCAGCTCGCGCTCACGCTCACTTCGTTTCTCTTGGTCCATTCATACCGACAACAGAGGGAGGGAGCGGGGAGCGAACAGTTTTAGTTTTTTTTTAAGCCAAGTTGCAGAGGGCAACCGCGCGTTCAAATGCGCCCCCCACCCCCCCCCCCCCCCTTCACGTTATCCAATTATGGTGCGAGAGACAATCGCGCGAGCGTGCGCGCACCTCCTTTGCCGCTCCACAGCGACACCCGCCCCCTGCCTTCCGGCACGCACGCACACGCACGTGTGCACGCACGTGCGCACACACGCACGCACGCGGATGTTAACAGACCACCTCCGGTGCCCGATCACTGCCGCTATAAGGATGCGACCACGGCACGCATCGCCGATTAGATGGAAAATTTTTGGCTTTTTTTTTGTTTGCGTTCGTTCGTTAAACATTTGGTTTCAAATCGACGGAAAAATAAATTAATTTTGCAGCAGCGGTGGCGTGGAGGTGGAATTAGCCTCAACAGCTACTGAGCACGCACGCGGGACACGGTGCGGGCAGGGCTGGCGCTCGGGTAGGCCCTGCACCACCAAACGTCACCAAAGTTCACTCCTCTCTTAAGCGGTGTATCACGATTCCGGTTGCCCCCCCTAATCCTCACTCGGCAGCCCTACCGGCCCCCCCAAACCACTCCTCGCGCACGCGGAGTGGTTTGGTTTGTCCGCGACTTGCCGCGTTACGTCCAATAGCAAGTCGGCGCGAACGCAGTGGTCGGGAGTCGCTGCGGCAGCTCCGTGTTAAAACACAAAACACCCTCGCCATCGGAGGTCGCCGGGCATCGTTGTCCCGTCCTGGTCGCGTCCTGGAGCTGCTCGTTCTGGGTTGAGCGGCAGTCCCGAGTGGCGGCGAGCACACGAACGGCATTGGGAAGTGGAGCGGTGGTTAGGGCTGCGAGCCCGGTGATCCAGAGTTCGATTCCTGGCCATGGTGAATACGTGACGAGCGACACATGAACCGATTCCTGGCTTCCTCCTACAACTTCACCAGCCCGCACTGACCAGCATGGTGGTAAAGTATGGTCAAAGCAGCATGGGCAAGGTCCTCATCCAGCAGTGGATTGACAAGGCTGTAAGTAAAGTAAAAAATCAAGCAACAGACGCAAAGAGCACATGGGAAAGATTGGAGCTTGAAACGAGGAGAATTTGTCATCATAAAATGTACAAGCACCCAAAGTTTTTAGGGTTAAAGCGACGTGATGTTGGACTCCAGTCCAAGTTGGGGCTAAGCCTAAAAAAAGTTATTCAAGAGAAGTTTTCTTATATTCTTGGTTCTTTCGGTAAAGTCACGTTGAAGCCAAGATCCCACAGCCTTTCATTGAATCGGAGTTAACCAACTCCTATTGGGCACCAACGAAGACTCGATGTGAATCTACGACCGTGACGTTACCGTCCACAAGTAATTTTTGTATTATTGTTTCCCTTCGAATGTTTTTATCACGGCGACCGGAACACTGAAATGAGAGAGCGGTCGGCGTGACCCGACGCGAGAAAGGCGTTTCGCGCTCGCTCAACGGAACCCTCGGCGGACAGGCTCCAGGCAGACTCGCGAGTGTGAGTGTGTCTGTGTTTGTGTGCGAGTGTGTCTGTGTTTGTGTGCGAGTGTGGGGAGCGGTAGCGTGGCGGTTAGCGCTGTGCTGTACTACGAACCCGGCGACCTGAGTTCGATACCCGCTCACGGCCAACGCAGGTGACGATTATCTGAACTGGTTCCCCTAGGCCGACTCGGCCTCAAATGAGTACCTGGTGCAGTGTGTAGTAAACATCACGACTGGGGAGACAAAGGCGGTCGAGCCACCCACCCCATGGTGTGCCACAGTGCCGGCCTTCATAGGTGCTCGCTAACAGCACTTGCCCCAACAGTCTGTTGAGGCTAGACGGGGATCTTTGTCTTTGTTCAGTGGGCACATCACGCGTCAACGGATCCCCTCCATCAGTTTTAATTTGAATTTCCTGAACATCCCTCGGATTGCCAATGTCTGCGCAGTCATCGCCACAATCAGACCCCCCCCTCCCCGCCCCAACACTTAAAATACATCAACAGCAGTGACGGCGGCAGTGGCAAGACGTCAACTACCTCGCCAGGTATACAGGAGATCGTAGGATCGACCCCTGACCCCTGACGCCTGCTGTGCATTTGGAGTTTGCGGTGTCTCTCTCTCTGCCCGTGGTCGCGCGGATTTATCTCCGGCTCCCGCGCTTTTTCCCTCCTCCGCATTTATGATCGACATTTCCGCGCGTCTTTAGAGTATTCGGCCGCGATTCATTTTGACGCGGTGCAGGGCTCGTTTAAGACCCACGGCAGCTAGTCGTGAAGGAAATCCTGACGGCGTGATTTTAATTAATAACTATCAAAAGGTTTTTACTTACTCGCCGGCGGCGGCACTGCAGCAGATAAAATGTGTTATCCGTGGTACCGATCGTCAGTTTCCACTCTGCAGGTAAAAAAAAAAACGCTTCGCTGTCGTCTGCAATTTGGAGGGACGAATGCACTGGGGCCAATAAGATTGAGCCGACATGTTCCGGCGTCGATGTTGTAATTACCTGCGCATGGAGAGGAAGAAAACAAAAAATCGATAAGTGGGGCCTTGGGGCCGAAACACTCATCTCCCCCCTCAGGCAAACCACACAGAGAATTGCTGGCACGGGGATCACAACTGATGACGAACGAAAATATTACGTTGTTTAAAAGGCGGCGTTATCCGAGTTTAAATCGCACCGCATGCCCTGCTGAGCCGTAAATCTCCCGTGAAGCCCTTCGCCGCAGGCCCAATATCACGACCACCGTACGGAACGATGCTTCGCCTATTTATTTCAGATTGCCTCGAGGTTAAAAACGATTTCCCACTTTCCGGAACGTGGCCCCAATGCTTGACGGTCTTTTGTTCACCTGCAAATACTCAATTGGGAGCCACACGCGCAGAGTAGCAGCGACGTCACCCGGTACCGCGAACACTGAAACTTGGCAGCATCTTCCTTCCACGCCCCAACCCCGCACCTCCGATTATCACGGTTGGCTACGTGCGGTGATGCGACGCAACTTCAATGTACGTACGTGCGCACACATGCCGACTAATCCTCTCTCCCCCCCCCTCGCTAAAAAATCTTGACCTTGAGGTGACACAGCAGGGGGGGGGGGACCGAAACGCTGGAGGGTGCAAAGAGAGAGAAACGTGGGCTGCTCCCCCCCTCCCTTGTAAGACTCCACCACACCGACGAAGACCGATCGAGATGACATTTAACGCGCCGCCGACTCGGCCATCGGACGCCGCCGCCCCCCACCAACGCTGGATACGAACCCCCCAGTCCAGTACGACATCCGTCGCAACTCGGAGGAGGGGCCGCCGCTGGGGGGGGGGGCGTGGCTTCGCTCGCGGACCCAGCGAGCGTCTCTCCCATCCCGGCTACCACCCCACGGCGTCCCAGGCGTCTTGCTCCTCGGCCTTGGCTGCCCGCTTGCTGCTGCTGCTGCTGCTGTCGACGGCTCCCCCACCTCCTCCAGCGTCGCCGCCGCCGTTCGCTTTGCTCTTCTCCTTCTTGCCGACGTCCCAGCCGGAATCCCAGGAGGCGTCCCAGCTGTCCTGCCGGCGTGGATCGCCGGCGCCGCCACCCCTGCCGCCGCCACCCCTGCCGCCGCCGCCGCCGCCGCCGCCGGCCTTCTTGTCGTCTTGCTCCTGGAGAAAGAGAGCCGCGCGGAACACCGGGGGGCCGTGAACTTCCGTCGAAAGGAAAAGTTCTTGCCGCTTGAAGTAAAAAGGAAATCCCGCCCGAGCGGACGTCCACCGCGGAGGTGGATCAACAGAGTCGGACTCGTGTGCCGGAGGTGGATGGATGGATCGTCTCATCGCGATGATGTGATGGAAGGCAATGGCCTTCAGCAGTGGGTTGACCGTGGCTGATGATGATTTACGCTGCGGTGTCTCATCATCATCATCACGGTGGCGAGGAGATGTTAACTACCTCACCTGGTATACCGGAGGTCGTGGGTTCGATCCCGACCCTGACGCCTGCTGTATAATTGGAGTTTGCGTGTCTCTCTCTCTCCCCATGGTGGTCGCGTGGATTTTTCCCCAGCGCCTCTGTTTTTTTTCCTTCCACGTTTAGAATCAACGTCTCGGGTTTTAGAGTATTTGGCTGCTCTAAATGTCCACGTGACGATAAGCCACTTCCATTTGGGCTATCATTTGTGATAGCCAGGTCGCTTCTGAAAAAGAGCTAAATAGCTCAGTGGGGGCCTTACCCAGTAAAATAAAAATAGTTTATAGTTTTTCCATTGTATACAGGGACTCATCTACTTACGAACATTCGACTTACGAACTTTCACATTTAGAATCAATGTCACGCGTTTAGAGTATATGGCTGCTGCTAGAAATGTCCACGAGATGATGATGATGCTAAGTCCACTTTCGTTGAACTATCATTTGTGATAGCCAACTTTACCTGCTTAAATAAAATAGTTTAAATAGTGATTTAAAGCTTTCGTGACTGCAGTGATTCATATTCTTAGCTCTTTCGGTAAAGTCACGTTGAAGGGAAACAATAAAATAATAGAATATATATAAAACAATAAAAATTCTCACGACGTTTCGACCATAACGCAAAACGGTCATCATCAGGTGTGAAAAACACCTGATGATGACCGTTTGCGTTATGATGATGACCGTTTTGCGTTATGGTCGAAACGTCGTGAGAATTTTTATTGTTTTATATATATTTTATTATTTTATTGTTTCCCTTCAACGTGACTTTCCCGAAAGAGCTAAGAATATAGTTTAAATAGTTTTAGTTTATTCACGGGCCAGGCGGTGATGCCCTCTTGTGACCAGTCGCAATATTCCACTTGAAAGCAACCAGAGTTAAAAATAATAATAGGTGTTTACCCTTTCTGGCAATGTAACAGGAGTTGTGTTCAGATGTTCAAACACCAAAGAGAAACCTTTTGCAAGGAATCAAGTACCGCATTAACCACACACGGCGGCGCTTGTGGTGAACATGCAAACAAATCACGTTCTGATAACAACGCCTGGCATTGTCTTTGAAACTGATTGGCCTACGCCAGAGACAGACGCCTTCTTCATGGCCCAGTCTCACGACCACCAGTGTCAGACCAGAGAACAACAAAACAATACAAAGCCATCACGAATGCCAAGAAGGTGGCTGGCTGCAGTGATATATACGGGGACTCCTCGACTTACGAACGAATTAGGTTCCAGGTTTGTTCGCAAGTCGATTTGTTCGTAAGTCCAACTTTACTCCTGTCGATTACAAACGTGTTGTACGGCGTGTACACTAAACACGGGGAAGGGCTTTAAAAGTTGTATAATCTCCTGTAGATCTAGATGCCACTGGTTCTTCACGTTCTGCAGATGTAGATGCCACTGGTTCTTCACGTTCTGTAGATGTAGATGCCACTGGTTCTTCACGTTCTGCAGATTAGATGCCACTGGTTCTTCACGTTCTGCAGATATAGATGCCACTGGTTCATCATATTCTACACATGTTGATGCCACTGGTTCTATTCTACAGATGTAGATGCCACTGGTTCTTCATGTTCTGCAGATGCCACTGGTTCTTCATGGACATACGAACCAGGTTTGTTCGTATCTCTAAAAGTTTGTAAGTCGAATGTTCGTAAGTAGAGGGGTCCTTGTATACAATGGAAAAACTATTTTTTATTTTACCGGGTAAGGCCCCCACTGAGCTATTTAGCTTTTTTTCAGAAGCGACCTGTCTATCACAAATGATAGCCCAAATGGAAGTGGCTTAACGTCACGTGGACATTTAGAGCAGCCAAATACTCTAAAACCCGAGACGTTGATTCTAAACGTGTAAGGAAAAAAAACCGGAGGCGCTGGAGAAAAATCCACGCGACCACCATGGGGAGAGAGAGAGACACGCAAACTCCAAATATACAGCAGCAGGCATCAGGGTCGGGATCAAACCCACAACCTCCTGTATACCGGGCGAGGTTGTTAACATCTCATAGCCACCGTGATGATGATGAGAGAGAGACGTGGACTCCAAATACACAGCAACAGGCGTCAGGGTCGGGATCAAACCCACAAAACTCCTGTATACCAGGCGAGGTTGTTAAGGGTTCAACAGAGCGGGTCCCCAACCTTACCGGACCCGTGGCTCCATTGTACGCCTAAGGCACATTGTGCAGACCGCCAAGTACTGCCGACTATTCTAAGAGTGCTTTAAGGTATTTAATTTAAAAGCCACGAGAGCTGTCAACTTTTCAGCCAAAAAGCATTTTGCGATTTATTTTGCCGAAGTATCGAGGCGGTGCAACATCTCCCCGTTTACAGCCCTGAGCAATGGTTGACGGATAACAGCGATGGGAACATGATTGGGCGAGCGAGTGGGTTAGTGAGTGGGTGAGCGAGATGGTGAGCGGGTGAGCGAGCGAGATGGTGAGCAGGTGAGCGAGCGAGATGGTGAGCAGGTGAGCGAGCGAGCAGGTAAGTGAGCTGGCGCGTGAGCGGGCGGGCGGGTGAACGGGCGGGCAAGCTGGCGGGCGAGCTGGTGAGCGGGTGAGCGAGCGAGCAGGTGAGCGGGTGAGCGAGCGAGCAGGTGAGCGGGTGAGCAGGTGAGCTGTGCGCACTTTGCTCACGACTGCGGCTTGGTGGCGCAGAGGTGAGCGCACAGCGATACGAACCCGTCGATCCGAGTTTGAGTCTCGCTCGCGGGCACAAAAAAACGAATATAAAACAAGGGCTCCTATTGGGAGCATTTAAATCGGCACGTGAATGGTGACGCTGTGAGTGGGCGGTCGAGTAACAGACAACCCCCCTCCTCCCCCTTCGATAATCACGAAGCATTCCTCCTTATTTAACTCATTCAAAGCGAAAATGATCAAATGTTGCTGGCACGGTGCACTGCGGGGAAATGGTGGCGTGAGCGCTGCACTGCGCCGCCCGGCCGATCCGAGTTCGATTCCCGCTCACGGCCAATACCGCTGACTATTATCTGCAACCAGACCTGGGCTTCCTGGGGAGACAAAGGCGGCCGGGCGTGGTGCTGGCTACCCACCCCCTCGTGTGCAGTGCCGGCCTTCACAGGTGCTACTCGCTAACTTGCCCCTACAGCCTGTTGATGTCTACAGAGTGCGGGGATGTCTTTGTGGTTGAGGCCGGACACTCACCGCACCCCAGCCGTCCCGCGTCCCTGCTGGGCTGTGCTCGCTCACAAAGTCCCAGTTGTCGATGTCAGCCGCTGGCGCCCCGGACTGCGACTCGTGCCCAAAGTCATCCCAGAAGGTCCCGTCAGCACACTTCCTGCTGTTCTGTGCTGCTGTGTCGCTGTTGGTGGGAGGGGGTGGGGTGGTGGTGGGGTGGGGAGGTCGACAAACTAAACACAACTAAAAGCAGCGATTGAAAAGTTGCACAGCTGCTTCAGTGGCTTCCTAATGTCGGAAGGAAGAGCGTTCCAGACGGCCGCACCGTCATCACCAACAACATCATGTATGTGTACAATGAACTTTTCTCGCACCGCGCGCAGCCAACCGTGCTAATTGGAGGTGCGGGGAGAAGGACAACTAGACACAAAAAGCAGTTTTAAAGAAATGAGTTTGTCAATCGAGAGCGACTGGCGTGGCCGCTGTGGGTTACCCCTCTCGGTGTGGGGAGTCGACCCCGGGGAGCGTCTCGTGGCCCTGTCTTCCCGACCACAGGTTCGACACCTCCCTCCAGCCCTTGGCTCCCACGTCCTGCATCTGGGGGATTGGCACCGATAGGGATTGCAGAGTGAGAGGGGGTCAAGTTTACAATTCGTACGCGTGTGTGTGCACGCGTGTGTGTGTGCGTGCGCGTGTGTGTGCATGTGCGTGCGTGCGTGTGCGCGTGTGTGTGCATGTGTGTGTGCGTGTGTGCGCGCGTGCGTGCGTGTGTGTGCGCGTGTGTGTGCGCGGTACAGTTTTGACGCCGGCTATCGTAGTGTGGCGGCGGTCGCGTCGCTACTCATCATCCCTGTAGTCACGCGCACATTCATAGCAGCAGCCAAATACGCGTCACGTCGATTCTAAATGTGTGGAGGGAAAAAACCGGAGGACCCAGAGAACAATCCACGCGACCGCGGAGAGAGAGAGAGACGCAAACTCCAAATATACAGCAGCAGCAGGCGTCAGGGGACGGGATCGAACCCCACAACCTCCTGTGTACCAGGCGAGATCGTTAACATCTCCTAGCCACCGTGGCGCGCTCGGGATAACACTCACCACCACCACCACCATCAGCAGCAGCGGCGGCGGCAGCACGACGGACAGTGCCGTGTTTGCAAGCAGAACGGGCGAGACAAAGCAGAAGACATGGGGGGGGGGGGGTGGTGGGTTAGTGGTGGGGGGCTGGAGGGCAGTGCCCCCCGTCAATCCGGGAGGTTGCGTCTCTCTGCAAGAAAGGCCTCCCGAGAGCTGGGGGATGCGCTCGGAGTCTCGTTCCTCGTTACGTTGTGGTCGGCTGTTTTGCGTTTGCCTTGCCCCAGGTGAACTTGTCTCTCGGGCAACTGCAAACAAAAAGGTCTCGGCTACTCGGGGATTTCACGCCCCCCGATGATGCCTCCGCCGATGTCAAGAGCCCACCCCCCCCCCCCCCCCCCACCATCTACCAGACTATTTACTCTCATCGCTGCTGCTGTGTTCACCTGCCGTGCTAGCAGGACACAGCGGGCTCCGGAGGCTGTGGCACGGTACTGCTCTCTCACTCCCTACCTCTCTCCCCTCATGTGGACCCCCTGCCAGGACCTCCACCTCCCTCCCACCCACCACACCACTTAGGGTGTAGCCACGGTGGCTAGGAGATGTTGACTACCTCGCCTGGTGTGCAGGAGGTCGTGAGTTCGATCCCGACCTTGACGTCTGCTGCTGCGGCTGCTGTATATTTGTAGTTTCCGTGTCTCTCTCTTCGTGGTCGCGTGGATTTTTCTCCGGGCGCTCCGGTTTTTCCCTTCCACATTTAGAATCGACGTCACGCGCTTAGAGTATTTGGCCGCTGCTGTACATTTCCACGTGATGCGGATGGTGCCGAGCCACTTTCGTTGTGCTATAATTTGTGATGGCCAGCGTCACTGCTGATGAAGAGCTGCGTAGCTGAGTTGTGGGGCCTTACCTGGTCAAACGAAAAATTGTAGAAATCGGTACGTTATCTGGAAATGCGGGGTTTGCATTTTGACTCGCTATAAATTCCAAAATTCCAACACTCGTTTCTATTCCTCCGACCGCTCCACTTAGGAAGGCTCCCCCCGTTGCACGGGCACCTTCGAGATCGCCTCAATGAGCGCGTGAAGCTGTTCACCACCCGCTATTTTGCCTCCATGTCGACACGTTCGTCAAGGAAATACCAATAACGGTCGGGCTCTCGGGTCGAGGTCCATCAGCACGACTCAACGGGGTGCTCAGAATTCCTGGCTGCTTCGCGCTCTTACGTAGACCACCCCGGGGATGCGCGTTGCGTGCGGCGACTGCGATGATTCAACACAAGGACGGGCGAGCCTCGCTGCGAGGTGACGGGGGACTGCGTTGGGAGCAGGGCCGAGCGTGGAGTCGAGAGCCACCGTCCCCGTTTAGCGAGCTCCTGGTTTGGGAGGCTAACCTCGCACCGATCAAATACAAAGTCGGTCAAAGTTGCCTCGAGGTCAGGAATTTTTTAGCACGGGGGGGGAGGGTGGGGGAGGATTAGTCGGCACGTGTGTGTGTTTGTACGTAAGTATATTAGGGGGAGCGGTGGTGTAGCGGTTAGCGCTACGCTGTGCTCCGAACCCGGCGAGCTGAGTTCGATTCCCGCTCGTGGCCACCAACACCGGTGACGATTATCTGAATCGGTCCTGGGCCTCCCCTAGGTCGACTCAGCCTCAAATGAGTACCTGGTACGGTGTGTAAACCATCATCACTGGGGAGGCAAAGGCAGCCGGGCGTGGTGCTGGCCACCCACCGCCCACTCTTGTGCCGTGCCGGCCTTCACAGGTGCTGGGTTCCGCTCGCTAACAGCACTTGCCCCAACAGCCTGTTAAGGCTACACGGGGGGGGGGTGGAGAGCTTTGTCTTTGTATGTCGAACTTCTTTGGCACCACTGCACGTAGCCAACCGTGCTAAATCGGAGGTGCGCGGGAGAGGTGTGGCGGGGGGAAGTAATTAAAATTACCCAAGACGGGAACTGAGCGAAGGAACCACACTAACGAGACGGCAAAAATGAAATTACAAAATTTCACAGAATACAATCGCAATGCCGAACCGTGAAGATTAACCAAAGTGCTCGGAGAGGCGGGGGTGATAGTTTTCGCAAGGCAACGTGTTCCACGTGTTCACAGTGGGGGGGTGACGGGGTTTGCGGTTAGTCACATCGGTCGGTATTTGAGAAATTATCGGTCGGTCATGCAGGATACACGGCAGTCCCTCGGTTGACGGTGACATCATCGGTTAACGTTTCGCCTCCCCGTCATGACCCCGCCCGCCCACCGCGGCGGCGGCAATCCCGGCCAATCCGAGCCGCTCGTTAAGTGGGGTCTGCGAGCCGCGCCCTCGCAGCCAATCGGCGGGCGTTTAGACCTCGGGCTTGGCTTCAGTTTACATTGCGCTTCCTGTTTTTTGCTTATCCCCCATTGGAACACGACTCCTCTTGCAGACTCGTGGTTAATTCCTCCACACATTTCGAGCGCCAAGTGGGCCTCGTCGGACGGAGGATTAAGAAATAAACAACATTGACCGAGGGGCTGCCGTAACTGTAGCGGTTATACGGACGCAAGGCTCGGGCGCGGAGACGGCGCTGGTTTATTCTAGCGGGTCTCGGGGGGGTTTAAGCGTCCACGGTATTCGTTGGGGGGGGGTGGGGGTGGAAGCCGACGTGGGAGCTCGTGACCGACGGGCAGCCCCCTCCCGGATACCTTTGTGGCCAGGTGCGAGACCGACGACGACACGTCGTCCAGAATCTTGCCGTCCTTAACCTACAGTGTACATGCACGTGGCCATCATGCAACAGCACACACACACAAAGACAACACGCACAAAAAGACACGCACACACAAAACATGCAAAAACACAAGCGCAGCAAAGACGCTCCCCCACCGTGTAGCCATTGACTATCGGGGCAAGTGCTGTTGGTGAGCATCTAAACTATAAACTATTTTGTTTTTGACCAGGCAAGGCCCCACCACTAAGATGCTATGTATGAAGCGAGCCTGGCCATTGCTCAACGAAATTGGCTTAACCCCAACCACCATCATCATCATCATCGTCGTCGCGTGGAAATTTAGTGGCCAAACACTCTCTAAACGCGCCCGACGTTAATTCTGAATGTGAAAGGGAAAAACCGGAGGGCCCGGAGCAAAATCCACGTGACCACAGGGGGCGAGAGAGAGAAAGACACGCTAGCTCCAATTATACAGCAGGCGTCACAGGGTCGGGATCGAACCCACGACCTCCTCGAAACCAGGCGAGGTAGTTAACGTCTTCTAGCCACGGTGATGATGATGATGAGAGAGACACGCAAACTCCGAATGTACAGCAGGCGTCAGGGTTGAGGTCGAACCCACGATATCCTGTGTACCAGGCGAGGTAGTTAACATCTCACCACCTATTGCCAGTGCGCTACGAACCAGGCATCTGGAGGTCGATTAACGGGCACGGCTTGCATCAGCGGCGAGTGGCAATTATTTATATATATAATCAGCCGGTCCTGGGCCTCACATTTAGGTCAAGTCAGCTTTTACCCAGATGCTGGAGTGGTGTTTAAATCATCAGCGCTGGGGAGAGACGGAGGCAGCCAGCGCGCTATAAGCCACTCCACCCTTCTCGTGGATTGTGCGGGCCTTAATAGGTGCTCGCTAACACGTGCGGCCCCGCACATGCACGCACGCACGCCGACTTGCGCATGTCGAACGGAACGGGACACATGCCCAGGTGACGGGTGCTTTGGCCGCAAGGCATCATGGGAATCCCCCATGACGCCTTGGGTAAGCACCGCCGAAGCAACACACACGCGCGCAACACCCCGCGGTGATTTAAGATGTGACCACGGGGCCTCCAAACAGCAAATCGCTTTTACAGGTGGCCGTTTTGAGCGTCGCCCTCGGTAAAGCGGTGTGGCGGTCGCGTGAGCGAGCTTCGCCCCCCGTTGGGGATCGTCGGCACGGGCGACGCCTGCAGTGCGACTGCCACGCTCTGCGGCCGTGCGTCGTCGCCCGCCTGGGTTCACGCGGCGACGCGGCTGCCCGCGACCGCCGAGTGGGTCGCCACCCCTCGGCCGAGTTAACCTTTTTATTATTTTAATTATTTTTACCAGGTGAGGCCCCCACCACAGTGGCTGTGTAGCTTCTTTTTTCAGAAGCGACACCTGGCCACCATCACAAATAATAGCTCAGCGAAGGTGGCTCATCATCATCGTGTGGAAATATAAAGCGGCCAAATAATCGTAAACGCGTGAAGTTGGTTCTCAATGTGAAAGGGAAAAACCGGAGGTCCTGGGCAAAAATCCACGCGACTACAGGGAGAGAAAGAAAACATGCAAACTCCAAATGTACAGCAAGCGACAGGGTTGGGATCGAACCCCACGGCCTCCTGTATACCAGGCGACGGAGTTAACATCCCGCCACACAGTTACCTTGTCTGTCGCAGGCTTGATGATGTTATCACTCATCGTCTGGCTTAGCTCAGATGCCTGTGGGATGGGGGGGAGGGGAGGGAGCAGAGCGGGGGAGGAAGGGAGGAGAGGGAGGTAGGTGAGGGAGGGTGGGAAGGAGGGAGAGAGGGAGGATTTATTGATCAACCACCTGCCTTCTGGACGTACTTGTGGTAACGCGTCAGCCGCCGATGATACCGGGAGTGAGAGGCCAAAGGTCATGGGGCTTCGACGAGAACCATCGGCGTGCGATGAATCACGTGGACCCAGTTAAGCGCGGAAGCGTAGAGTGAGGGAAGGGCCGGGGGAGGGGGGGCGTCACGTTCAGATGGAGCGGCTCAGGGGTAGATAAACACGGCGGTGACAGGTAGGGGAATACAGGGACTCCTCGACTTACGAGCGTTCGACTTAACATACTCCTCTACTGACGAATACTCGACTTAACACACTTCACTTACAAACGGTCGACTTAACAGACTCCTTTGTTTATAAACACTCGACTTACGAACTTTCAGAGAAACGAACAAGCCTGTCCCCTGTATCTATTGACTGTTTGGACCGAGAGTTGTAAGTTCATCCACCGCCTTATTAGATGGTGGTGGTGGCATCTACATCTGCAGAACGTGAAGAGCCAGTGGCATCTACATCTGCAGAACGTGAAGAACCAGTGGCATCTACATCTGCAGAACGTGAAGAACCAGTGGCATCTACATCTGTAGAACGTCAAGAACCAGTGGCATCTACACCTGCAGAACGTGAAGAACCAGTGGCATCTACATCTGCAGAACGTGAAGAACCAGTGGCATCTACACCTGCAGAACGTGAAGAACCAGTGGCATCTACATCTGCAGAACGTGAAGAACCAGTGGCATCTACATCTGCAGAACGTGAAGAACCAGTGGCATTTACATCTACAGAACGTGAAGAACCAGTGGCATCTACATCTGCAGAACGTGAAGAACCAGTGGCATCTACATCTGTAGAACGTGAAGAATCAGTGGCATCTACATCTGCAGAACGTGAAGAACCAGTGGCATCTACATCTGTAGAACGTCAAGAACCAGTGGCATCTACACCTGCAGAACGTCAAGAACCAGTGGCATTTACATCTGCAGAACGTCAAGAACCAGTGGCATCTACACCTGTAGAACGTGAAGAACCAGTGGCATCTACATCTGCAGAACGTCAAGAACCAGTGGCATATACATCTACAGAAGATGAAGATCCAGTGGCATTTACATCTGCAGAACGTGAAGAACCAGTGGCATTTACATCTATAGAACGTGAAGAACCAGTGGCATCTACATCAACAGAATATGAAGAATCAGTGGCATTTACATCTACAGAACGTGAAGAACCAGTGGCATCTGCAGAACGTGAAGAATCAGTGGCATCTACATCTACAGAAGGTGAAGGACCAGCCACATCTATATCTGCAGAACGTGAAGAACCAGTGGTACCTACATCTGCAGCAGATTATACAACTTTTAAAGCCATTCCTCGTGTTTAGTGTACACGCCGTACGACACGTTTGTAATCGACAGGAGTAAAGTTGGACTTACAAACAAATCTACTTATGAGCAGACCTCTGGAACCCAACTCGTTCGTAAGTCGAGGAGTCCCTGTATTTATTTGGCTTGGATCATGATTTTGGCCCGACGTTATTCAGCTATCGTAGAGTGGTGATGGTCGTGTCACTGCGGTTCCCCGTGGTGAGTCACAACGTCTATTAAAAACAATGGCACTGCTGCTACTGCTGCTGCTACGCCTCTCTAAATAAAACAAAACACTGTGAACCGCACCCACGAGTTCCGAGAGTCAGAGGCGGCACGTGACGGGCGACCCCCTACGACCCCCCCCCCCCGCCGCCTCACTGCGGCTTCGACGGGGGCCCACAATGTGCGTCATTAAGAGCGGAATTTCACACAACCCTCTCTCTCACCTATCTCTCTCTCCTCTCTCTATCTCCCTCTGTCTCTCTCTTCTCCGCTCCCTCGCTCTCTACCTGCCTGCCCACCCTGGTGACCGAAGAAAATAAGTGTTTTGTTGATATTTATCACGTACAGTATATTGAATGGATTTGTATTATTCTCATGATTAATGTAAAGGCCCTATTTATGTGAGAGATGGGGAGTGGTAGTGTAGCGGTTAGCGCGCTGCGCTATTAACCCGGCAATTCGGGTTCGATTCCCACTCATGGCCAACACCAGTGACGATTATCTGCACCGGTCCTGGGCCTCACCTAGGTCGACTCAGCCTCAAATGAGTACCTGGTGTGGTGTGTAAACATCGCCACTGGGGAGATAAAGGCGGCCGGGCGTGGTGCTGGCCACTCACCCCCTCGTGGTGCCGTGCAGGCCTTCATAGGTGCTCGCTAACAGCACTTGCCCCCAAAAGGCTGTTCAGGCTATACGCTCACAGCGAGCACCTATGATATTTGTGTGTGTATGTATGTGTGTGTATATGTGTGCAAAACAACCCCCTACCTCCTCGCGGTGCCGGACGGGCAACGCTGTCCTGGACAGTGCTGTGGGGGAGAGGGCCAATTCCGAGTGGCCCTCTCCCCTCATGGCGTCTGTGACCACCACAGTGGCTAAATGGGGGCTCTGGACGGGTGCGAGGGGATGGTAACCCATCCACCTTCAATAAATTACCACTAAACCACGTGAAAAATATCTAATAAGCTTGTGCCGGAGGCTCCGGGGGGACAAGCGTCTATGACGTCTCCTGGCCAAACCCCATCTGGCGGAGCCAGGAGATTTACCCTCGGGGCTCCTCCAGAAACAACAAAAAGCCACTTCGTGTGGCCACGTGGAATGTTTGAACGCTCACTGCGGAGGAGAGGCTGCCACTCCTCTGTCGGGAGCTGGACCGGTACCGTCTGGATCTCTTTGGCATTCAGGAGGTTCGGTGGACCGGCTCTGGCTCCTGCCACCATGAGGGGTGGACAGTCCTCTACTCGGGGTAGGAGACTGCCAAACAACAGGGTGTGGCTCTTCTTCTGAACTAAAGAATGAATGGGACATGGGAGCGTGGCGGTGAGGTGTGGGAAGCTGTAAGCCCCAGGCTACTTTGAGCTCGCCTTCCCATCAACCGGAGGCGAGGAGTGGTGGTCGTGGTTACTTATGCCCCCACCGAAGACGAACATCCGTGGAGGGATGCAGGCAAGGCCGATGAGTCAGATGCCTTCTATGACCTCCTGTCACAGGTGCTGGCTAAAGTGGCACCTCGGGATAGAGTCATCATGTTGGGTGACTTCAATGCCCGAGTTGGTCATGATGCTGGCACCTGGTCTGGAGTGATTTGAGGGCATGGGCCAGATCAGCTCAATAACAACAGTAGGAGGCTGCTAGATTTTTGTGCAGCCCATGGGCTTGTAATTACCAACACGCTGTTCCGGCATCGGCGCATCCACACAACATCATGGATGCATGCCGGGTCCAAGCAAGAACATAGTGACGGACCAGCGGATGCGAGCCCATGTCCTTGACACCAGGACCTACGTGGAGCTGATCTGCCCTCTGACCATCGACTTGTCATCTGTAAGATGCGCCTGCCATTCTTCCACTCTGCTGGTGGGTGTACACCCAGGACCCCATTCCAAGCTAAAGTGGCCTGGTCTCAGTTATCTGATGAAAGTGGCAAGCGAGAATTGCATCATCGCTTGCGGCTGGGATTGGCATCGTCCCCGACTCCTCCTGATGTTGAGGGTAAATGGGTGAGGTTTAGGACTGTGACTCATGCAGCTGCAATGGCTGCTTTGGGTACATGGTCCAGACCTCCCCAGAGACCCTGGCTGACAGAGGAGGTGTTCAGGATGGTTGAGAAAAAGCGACAGGCCACTGTCATCGGCTACAGAATCCCTCGTCAGAGAATGAGGAGGCTTACCGCAGCCTTCGCTCGGAGGTTCGGAGAGCCGTGAGGCGCTGCAAGGATGGGTGGTGGTCGCGGGTTGCTGAAGAGATGGAGTCTGCCTCAGTGGCCCGCGATCACAAATCTCTATTTAACTCCATCAAAAAAGTAACCTGCAGCGCCACACCTAGGGGAAAAAACGGTGATCCAATCTCCGACCTCCAGGAACAGGTATGCAGATTTGCTGAGCATTTCTGTGAGGTCCTGGGGGAGGGAAAATCCTTTAGCCAGGAAAACATCGTGGCACAAAGTGAGGATGACCCTGCTGAGGCTGCGGTGCCTCAAATATTGGAAGAAGTCACCCCCTGTGAGTGGCTGGCTGAGGTGCCATTTGTTGAGGAAGTACTGAAGGCGATCCGGAGTCTGAGACCAGGAAAGGCAGTGGGCAGAGATGATCTCCCAAGCGAAATGCTGAGGGAGGGTGGCGTTTGTGCACAGACTGCCCTACATGATATCATAACAACAGTCTGGACCACTGGACGGGTTCCGCAGGATTGGAAGGATGCCCTGGTGGTCCCCCTCTTTAAGAAGGGGGACCGCACAGACTGTAACAACTACAGGGGCATCTCACTCCTCAGTGTGCCGGGAAAGGTCCTGGCAAGGATTATTCAACATCGCCTTGCCAGGCACGCTGAGGAGAGGCTTGCGGAGCCCCAATGCGGTTTCAGGAAAGGGCGGTCCTGCACAGATGCCATATTTTCTGTCCGTCTGCTACAGCAGAGGTGTAGGGAATTCCAGCAAGATCTACATCTCTGCTTTATTGACCTGGTCAAGGCCTATGATACCATCAGTAGGCCTGGGCTCTGGGTTGTTCTTCGTGCTTTTGGATTACCTGACCCTCTGCTCACGATCATTAAGGACCTTCATGATGGTGAGCGGGCCCGGGTAAAACTACGTGGCTGGGAGTCAGAGCCATTCCCTGTACACCTTGGGGTGCGACAGGGATGTCCTCTGGGTCCCACATTATTTAACATCTATTTTGACCATGTAGTTCGTGAAGCCTTCAATAGCTGTACCGGGGGAATCTCCATATGGTACAGATATAATGGGAGGCTGATCGATGCCTGGGTGCGGTCAAGGGATGGCTCCCTATTGGTCAACCACGTTATGTATGCCGATGATTTGGTAATAGCCGCTCATTCAGAGGAGGAGTTGGAGACGCTGCTGTTGAGACTGGAGCGTGCCACTAAGAAGTGGGGCCTTACCATCAGCCCCACCAAAACTAAGCACCTGCCTGGGTATTTTGTACAATCGGACACTCCACCCCGAAAACTCCCAATCGGTGATGGGGCAGTTGTGGAGAGAGTGGAGAGTTTCCCATACCTGGGCAGTGTGCTTATGACCGGCTCCAGTTTAACAGCAGAGGTCTCACTCCAAATCAGTCGAGCGGCAATATCTTTTCATCGGTTGCGTAACGCCATGTGGAAGCTACCTGGTCTGTCGCTCTGCACTAAGCTTCAGGTCTTCTCGGCCACGGTCATTCCCTCCATTCTCTACGCTTGCGAAACGTGGACACCCCTAGTGGAGCATCTTCGCCGGTTGGAAACATTTAGGCTGGCCTGCCTACGATCCATCCTGGGTTTAACCAGGCTGGATTGTGTGAGGAGCTCACAAATCCTTGAAAGATCTGGGCATGGTCCCATCGGTGAGCTCCTCCGGCAGGCAAGGCTGCATTGGCTGGGTTGTGTAGCCCGCATGCCCAGCCACCACATGCCGAAACAGCTTTTGTCCGGCTGGATCGAGGGGGCTAGTCGGGCGCGGCACGGGCTAGAGAAGAGATGGAGTGATGTGGTACAGGAGGATGTGGAGCTGAGTGGACTTGCTGATGACTGGTACCACCGGTGTCAAGATCGGCCTCTGTGGAGGAGGCTCGTGAAGGATGCTACTGGGCAGTTGGAGGCAGTCGCCCTCCAATAACAACGGGGGGCGGAGGAGCGACGCTCACAACAACGAGCGGAGCGCCGGGTGACTAGGGCACAGCAGGTTGGCACAGTAGGGGCACAGGTGGTGCATCAGCCAGTCATCTCAGTCAGTCGACCCGTGGCACCTGGGTCTGCCCCGTGACCTCCTGCCAGCGGGCGTTCGACACTCCACGTGGCCTCAAGGTGCACGTGGCCTGGCACAAGCGTCGTGGTGACGTCACCGCCACTTCGTGGCGAATGGTGGTTGTTGTTGTTGTTGTATGTGTGTGTATGTGTGTGTATGTGTGTATGTGTGTGTATGTGTGTATGTGTGTGTATGTGTGTTTGTGTGTATTTGTGTATGTGTGTATGTGTATGTGTGTTTGTGTATGTGTGTGTATGTGTGTATGTATATGCGTGTCGTGTTACCGGGTCCTTGTTGCCCCACAGCTGCCATCCGGTGAGAGCGTGCGGGGGGCGGGTGGCACACGGTCACCGTTAAACAACGCCGGCAAGCGCCAGTGAAACAAACAACAAACAGCTGCTGCTGCAGCTGCTGCTGCAGCTGTTTGTTGCGTTGTATCTCCGGCAAGCGCGGCGACACAACAACATGGGTGCTAGTCACTAACAGCACTTGCCCCAACAGTCTGTTTAGGCTACACGGTGGAGCTTTGTCTTTGTTTGTCTTTGTATGTGTTGCTGAACTTCTTTCGCACTGTACATATACAACCGTGCTCATCTGAGCTACGGGGGGAGGGGGAACCACAAACTAGACACAATAAGCAGTTGTAAAGAAAGGAGTTTGTCAATGTAGATGACAATGTAGATGTCAATGTAGATGACAATGTAAAATTCCGCAGAGCTCCGAGTGGCTTCTGAATATCGGCAGGCAGAGGCGTTCCAGACGGCCGCAGAAGCGCGCGCGATGCAGTCGTGATCGTCTTGGTTCGACCACCCCCCCCCCCGCGCCTCCCCTGCCCCCTTGTAACAGACTGTTGGGGTGGGTGCTGTTAGTAACGAGCAGCAGCAGCAGCAGCGCCCTATGAAGGCAGCCACTGTGGTACACGAGGGGGTGGGTGGCCAGCGACCACGCCCGCACGGCCACCTTTGTCTCCCCGAGTGGCGATGTTTACCACACACCGCACCAGGTACTCATTTGAGGCCGAGTCGACCTAGGGGAGGCACACGCGTGCGCGCGCTTGCGTGCGGAGTGCTCGGGGCGGAGTACCTTTTGAGATGCCTGGGATCCCAGTTTAGCGGCCTGTGTGGAGCGTGCGGGGGGGGGGGGACGAGGAGAGACGACAAAACAAAGTCACACGGGGGTGGTTAGTGCCTTCAAAAGCGTTGGTGGTAAACTTTACACGCAAGTCAGCGAAGCCAGCTTTCTCATTCTTACTTTTTTACTTACCCAGGGGGCGCAAACAGCCAAGTGGCGGGACCCCTTCGTCTAGGAGGAGGGGGTCACGGGGGTCACGGGGGTTACAGGGGTCACGAGGGTCACGGGGGCCACGGGGGTCGCCGGGGTCACGGGGGTCGCGGGGGTCACGGGGGTCACGGGGGTCGCGGGGGTCACCCCGCCCGCCCCCTGGCCTCTTATCTCTTCGCTGGCTACCGTTCAAATTCCGAGTAGATTTTAAGACACTGCTATTCACCTATAAGGCTTTAAAAGGGCTCACCACCCCACGTGACTTGCAGGAACTAATCCATTGATATATATATCCAATCAAGGTCCTTGAGTTCTTCTGATATTCAACTACTCAGCACACCCACAGGTCTCCAGGTTGCGCAACTGGTGATCAGTGCTTTTGTCAGCGTGGCACCACAAACTACGGGACGCCTTGCCACTTGGATTGGAGTTGGAAGATAGATTTAAGTCTGCTTTGAAAACCCAACTCCTATAAACTGGTCTTCACTCTTCAGTGTGGGGGTTTGGTCCACTGGGTTCTGTTTTTGTTTCCTGATTTACAAGCATTGTGCATTGGGACTCTAGAATGCAATGCACATCATACATTTGAATTATCATCATCATTATTATAAAGCTTGAGAAGTTTTCAGTCGACTATTGAGCGTTCAAAAATACGTGGCGGGAGGAGGAGGAAGCCCCGAGAGCCCTGAAGACAACCAGACGCCTTTGCGAGCGAGGGCGCAACGCTCTATCCCCCCCCTCCCCACACACATGGAGACAGGCGGCCGATTAGTCCACTCGCCGACAGAGCCAAGAGGTTACATGGCCCAAACTGGGTGTCTGCGATTAAGAGCTTTATAGCTCTTCAGATTCCTCATCCTGCAGTCCAGATAAGAGATTCCGACTGGGATTCTGATCTCGACGCCTGCCAGGTTAAGGGAGTCTAACAGCTGAGGCCAATCCGTATCGAAGGCAATGCGCATATGGAGTGGAATCCCGATTACATGGAGTGGACTCTGGGATATATAACCGCATATATGATTTGCGGATTAACCGCGCACACTGAGATTTTGACACAAGTTAATAGCTCGTGGGTTTTCCCTCGAGCCGAAATTAATCATCTAAAAACAGTGATACATTGTTATTCTTGGAAATCTTTATTTACAAGTGCACCATGCTTAAACCGGGCAAATATGTTCCTCTGGTTAATCCCAAATCCACGTGAGATTGCCTCTACAGATTATCTGAACCGGTTCTGGGCCTCCTCCCCTAGGTCGACTCAGCCTCAAATTACTACCTGGTGCAGAGTAAACATCGCCACTGGGGAGACAAAGGCGGCCGGGCGTGGTTGCTGAGGCACCCACCCCCTCGTGCACCGTGCCGGCCTTCATAGGTGCTGCTACTCGCTACTGACAGCACTTGCCCCGACAGTCTGTTAAAGGCTACACGCTGGGGGGGGGGGGTATCTTTGTCTTCGTGTCGCGGGCGCGCACGGGCATTAAGTTTTTAACGGCTACGTTATTCCGTGTTAAACTTTAATCTCGCGGCGTCGGATTTCGCGGTCGGCATAGGGAGAAAATAAAACAGCCGACTCGCCATCTCGGCAGCAGCTCGGCGCAATGCCTCTCACATTGCCCACGGGTGCCGAGTCAAACGGTGCGGGGACGACGGTCAAACACGTCGCATTCTACCCGATGTGGTCAAAATCACACTCGCAGTCTTCAAGATCCATCCCTCCATGTACTTACTACCCCTGCCTACCCTGTCCCCTCTCACCTCACTCCACTCCCCTCCATGTACTTACTACCCCTGCCTACCCTCTCCCCTCTCACCTCACTCCACTCCCCTCCATGTACTTACTACCCCTGCCTACCCTGTCCCCTCTCACCTCACTCCACTCCCCTCCATGTACTTACTACCCCTGCCTACCCTGTCCCCTCTCACCTCACTCCACTCCCCTCCATGTACTTACTACCCCTGCCTACCCTCTCCCCTCTCACCTCACTCCACTCCCCTCCACGTACTTACTACCCCTGCCTACCCTCTCCCCTCTCACCTCACTCCACTCCCCTCCATGTACTTACTACCCCTGCCTACCCTGACCCCTCTCACCTCACTCCACTCCCCTCCACGCACTCTCCTACCTCTCCCCTCTCACCTCACTCCACTCCCCTCCATGCACTCTCCTACCTCTCTCATCTCACTCCACTCCCCTCCACCCACTCTCCTGCCTCTCCCCTCTCATCTCACTCCACTCCCCTCCAAAATAGTTTCGATAGTTAGCCCAGAGACCCCATAGACTCACAGGGACACCACCTATGGCTGTCTCTCTCTGTGTCTACACAATAAGCATGCCCACTGCTCCCGTGCAGTGTCCAGGAGATGGTGATTGGTTCCAGGAGACCGATCGCTAAACGATTTGGTCATTAAGCGAGAATAGGAAAAGCACGTTAAAGGCTTCATTCGTTCCGATAGCATTGAAAGTTACTCCGTCGAAAGTTACTCCGTTTTTCACCCAAAAAAACGTATTTTACTATATTTAAACGGTGGAAATCAATGCATAAAGATACTAACAACACAAACACGTAATATTAAAAGAAACACGGTTATTAAATGCATTCATTAAATGTTTTACTGTACCTACAACAACCCGTCGTTAAGCGAACACATTGGGCTCTATGGAGGCACTACACTACACTATACACTACACCACTATACACTACACCACTATACACTACACTACTATACACGACACTACTATACACTACACCACTATACACGACACTACTATACACTACACTATACACTACACCACTATACACTACACCACTATACACACTACTATACACTACACTACTATACACTACACCACTATACACTACACTACTATACACTACACTATACACTACACTACTATACATTACACTATACACGACACCACTATACACTACACCACTATATACTACACCACTATACACTACACCACTATACACTACTATACAATACACTATACACTACACCACTATACACTACACCACTATATACTACACCACTATACACTACTATACAATACACTATACACTACACCACTATACACTACACCACTATACACGACACCACTATACACTACACTATACACTACACTACTATACACTACACTACTATACACTACACCACTATACACTACACCACTATACACGACACCACTATACACTACACCACTATACACTACACCACTATACACTACTATACACTACACTACTATACACTACACTATACACTATACCACTATACACTACGCTACTATACACTACACCACTATACACTACACTACTATATACGACACCACTATACACTACACCACTATACACTACACTATACACTACACTACTATACACTACACTACTATACACTACACCACTATACACGACACCACTATACACTACACCACTATACACTACACCACTATATACTACTATACACTACACTACTATACACTACACTACTATACACTACACTATACACTACACTACTATACACTACGCTACTATACACTACACCACTATACACTACTATACACTACACTATACACTACACCACTATACACTACGCTACTATACACTACACTACTATATACGACACCACTATACACTACACTATACACTACACCACTATGTACTACACCAATATGCACTACAACACTATACACTACACTATACACTACACCACTATACACGACACTACTACACTACACTATACACTACACCACTATACACTACACTATACACTACACCATTATACACGGCACCACTATACACTACACTATACACTACACCACTATACACTACTATATACTATACTACTACACTACTACTACACTATACACTACACCACTATACACTACACTATACACTACACCACTATACACTACTATACACTATACTACACTACTACTACACTATACACTACACCACTATACACTACACTATACACTACACCACTATACACTACTATACACTATACTACTACACTACTACTACACTATACACTACACCACTATACACTACACTATACACTACTATACACTACACGATACACTACACCACTATACACTACACCACTATACACTACTATACACTACACTACAATACACTATTATGGTCTACACATTGGGCTCTTTGGAGGCTCGTCATTAAGTGATAAGTCGTTAAGGGGGTGCTCGTTAAGAGGAATTCTACCGTAACGAGATCGCGATCCTCACGCACCGGACCGCTTCAACCATGCCGGGTTGGCAGAGGAAGGTGTTTGGGGGGGGGGGAGAGGTGGCGGGGTGCCGCACAGACACGCGGAGTACAACAGCGGATGTTGTGTCGCGATTCAAGCGCGCGCGGGGGGCGTGGCACTCACAGGCGGTTCGTCGATTGTTTTTGTTGTAAAGCTTGGGAGGGAGCCAGGAAGAGAGGGAGGGAGGGAGGGAGGTAGCGAGGGTGCGAGGGAGGTAGCGAGGGAGATAGCGAGGGAGATAGCGAGGGAGATAGCGAGGGAGCAAGGTAGTGAGGGAGATAGCGAGGGAGCAAGGTAGCGAGGGAGTGAGGTAGCGAGCCAGGTAGCGAGGGAACGAGGTAGCGAGGGAGGTGGCGAGGTAGCGAGGTAGCGAGGTAGCGAGGGCGGGAGCGAGCCAGGGAGCGAGGGAGCGAGGGAGGGAGCGAGGTAACGAGTGAGCGAGGTAGCGAGGTAACGAGGTAGCGAGGTAACGAGTGAGCGAGGTAGCGAGGTAGCGAGGTAACGAGGTAGCGAGGTAACGAGGTAGCGAGGTAACGAGTGAGCGAGGTAGCGAGGTAGCGAGGTAGCGAGGTAGCGAGGGCGGGAGCGAGCCAGGGAGCGAGGGAGCGAGGGAGGGAGCGAGGTAACGAGTGAGCGAGGTAGCGAGGTAACGAGGTAGCGAGGTAACGAGTGAGCGAGGTAGCGAGGTAGCGAGGTAACGAGGTAGCGAGGTAACGAGGTAGCGAGGTAACGAGTGAGCGAGGGAGCGAGGTAGCGAGGTAGCGAGGTAGCGAGGGAGGTAGCGAGGGAGCGAGGTAGCGAGGTAGCGAGGGAGCGAGGGAGCGAGGTAGCGAGGTAGCGAGGTAGCGAGGGAGGTAGCGAGGGAGTGAGGTAGCGAGGTAGCGAGGGAGCGAGGTAGCGAGGTAGCGAGGGAGGTAGCGAGGGAGCGAGGTAGCGAGGGAGCGAGGGAGCGAGCCAGGGAGAGAGGGAGGCAGGGAGCGAGGGAGCGAGGTAGCGAGGTAGCGAGGTAGCGAGGGAGCGAGGGAGCGAGGTAGCGAGTGAGCCAGGGAGCGAGGGAGGGAGGTAGCGAGGGAGGGAGGTAGCGAGGTAGTGAGGGAGGTAGCGAGGGAGTGAGGTAGTGAGGTAGCGAGGGAGCGAGCCAGGGAGAGAGGGACGCAGCGAGGGAGCGAGGTAGCGAGGGAGCGAGGGAGGGAGCGAGGGAGCGAGGTAGCGAGGGAGATAGCGAGCGACGTAGCGAGGTTGTCGAGGGAGCGAGGGAGAGAGGGAGCGAGGGAGGACATGAGATCGCAGGGCTGCAGCACGACTGAAGGGACACGCGGAGGCTCAGACGTTTACCGAGGCTCGGCCGATTCACGAGACTCTTTGAAGATTAAGGAGACTCTGGACGATTATCGATTAACGAGTCTCAGACGAGACTAACGAATAACGAGACTCGGTGATCCACGAGAATCGGGCCGATTCACGATTCACGGTTCACGCCGTCCCAGCTCAAGTTTCTCTTGACCGGGACGGATGGCCTCGGAGCGTTGCCACCGAGACGCCCACGGGGTTGGTGATTAATAATGAAGACGCTAACGGCAGGGACGGCACAGTCCGAGCCGTAGGCGGTGGGGGGGAGGAGGAGGGGCGGGGGTTTATTTTTATAAAACGAGCAACTCAAGAGACCGGGATGAGTCTCATTTACAAACGAAATCACAATTACAGTCGATCGTCGATCATCCGGCACTGAGCGATCATCCGGCGGCCCGGCAAAACCGCTCCCAGAGGCTGTAATCCAGTCCGATGATCGGCACCGTGTCGCGCGACAAAGTAGCTACGCTCGATTTCGGCGTGAAATATTATACACGCTACATTATGCACGACATACAACTCACACAATGAAAATACTGCACGCGTGTCTATACGTCACCCCATGCTGAGTCGTCGAGATTGGAGTTGTAGGCACGGTACACAGTAAATACAGCAACGCTTTACAGTTGGGTCAAGTACAAAATGGTGAAGGGCAAAGTCAGCTGACCGATTCCCGCTGAGCCGAGCCACAGTCTCACTGTTATTTATGTAGTTTATTGTACAAATTCGGTCACAGTCCCTATGATCACTGTTACGTTGCAATTATGGCTTTATTTTTTTGGTGATTTCGAAAACGTTTTTTGGTTTGGACATGTTTGTTTTGTTGCAGTACGGAGTTAGACTGATGGCCTTAATCTAAGTTTTCTTGTGGTTGTTGTTGTTGCTGTTTGACTTGCATCCCACTGGGATTTGTTGCACACAGCGTCGGTGGTGTACGGTGCTTTTTTTCAGGAATATTTTTGCTGATATCTTTAATGGATTTTCTGTCTGCACAGTCAACACAAAGTCACTTTAAGATGTTTTTCTTGTTAGTGTTTTTGTTTGTTTGTTGTGGTTGCACCCGATTCAAGAGCCGAATGGCTCACAGGGCTACACCAAAATAAATACACTGAAAACTAAACACTCGATGGGTCCTCAAGATGCGTTCTTAAAACGTGTCCGGGCGCGTGCAGGCGTGCGGCTCCTGCACGCGCCTGGCGCCGTACGTACGGTGGACATAGAGGGGTCGGCTACGTACGGCGGGGTGGGGGGTTTGGGGGGGGTGGGGTGGGGGGTCACAGCGGTACTCACCCCTTCCTTGGCCACGGTGGCGATCTTGCTCGCTCCCACCGTGAAACTGCTCCAGCCCTGGCGGGGAGAGAGCAAGCAAGCGAGAAGGATGAGGAAGTGTGAGGAGGTGTGGGGTGGAGGAGGCGGAGGGGGGGAAGGAGGAGGTGATGCGAGGAGACGGGGGCGGGGGTGGTTTTAACAATCGTATTTTTTATTATTACACGCTTTTATTTAACTCACTGTCTGTTGTCATTGTATCCTCAAATCTTGTAACTCAATGTTAACCCACTACCCAATGTGGTATCGACTGCAAAGTTGGTATACTTAAATGTCATGCTGATGACAATACTATAGTCTATCATTAAAATGTTTTTATTACGTTTCGGCTTGGGTCTAATTGTCCACGCTCAACTAACGTTGGCTGTAAATCACCACGGTGCCCCCCCCCAAGCCCCCCCCCCAGCCCCCCCCCAACACTCTTAGGTGTTGGGGGGGGTTCATGGCGGTGTGGAGGGGGGGTTCATGGCGGTGTTGAGGGGGGGTCTCACGGAGTAGAAGGAGGACATGGTGGTGTTGAGGGGGGGTCTCACGGAGTAGAAGGAGGACATGGTGGTGTTGAGGGGGGGTCTCACAGAGTAGAAGGAGGACATGGTGGTGTTGAGGGGGGTGTCTCACGGAGTAGAAGGAGGACATGGTGGTGTTGAGGGGGTGTCTCACAGAGTAGAAGGAGGACATGGTGGTGTTGAGGGGGGTGTCTCACGGAGTAGAAGGAGGACATGGTGGTGTTGAGGGGCGTGTCTCACGGAGTAGAAGGAGGACATGGTGGTGTTGAGGGGGTGTCTCACGGAGTAGAAGGAGGACATGGTGGTGTTGAGGGGGGGGGGTCTCACAGAGTAGTAGGAGGACATGGTGGTGTTGAGGGGGTGTCTCACAGAGTAGAAGGAGGACATGGTGGTGTTGAGGGGGTGTCTCACGGAGTAGAAGGAGGACATGGTGGTGTTGAGGGGGGGTCTCACGGAGTAGAAGGAGGACATGGTGGTGTTGAGGGGGGGGGTCTCACAGAGTAGTAGGAGGACATGGTGGTGTTGAGGGGGTGTCTCACAGAGTAGAAGGAGGACATGGTGGTGTTGAGGGGGTGTCTCACGGAGTAGAAGGAGGACATGGTGGTGTTGAGGGGGGGTCTCACGGAGTAGAAGGAGGACATGGTGGTGTTGAGGGGGGGGTCTCACAGAGTAGTAGGAGGACATGGTGGTGTTGAGGGGGTGTCTCACAGAGTAGAAGGAGGACATGGTGGTGTTGAGGGGGTGTCTCATGGAGTAGAAGGAGGACATGGTGGTGTTGAGGGGGGGTCTCACAGAGTAGAAGGAGGACATGGTGGTGTTGAGGGGGTGTCTCACAGAGTAGAAGGAGGACATGGTGGTGTTGAGGGGGTGTCTCACGGAGTAGAAGGAGGACATGGCGGTGTTGAGGGGGGGTCTCACGGAGTAGAAGGAGGACATGGTGGTGTTGAGGGGGGGGTCTCACAGAGTAGTAGGAGGACATGGTGGTGTTGAGGGGGTGTCTCACAGAGTAGAAGGAGGACATGGTGGTGTTGAGGGGGTGTCTCATGGAGTAGAAGGATGACATGGTGGTGTTGAGGGGGGGTCTCACGGAGTAGAAGGAGGACATGGTGGTGTTGAGGGGGGGTGTCTCACGGAGTAGAAGGAGGACATGGTGGTGTTGAGGGGGGGTGTCTCACGGAGTAGAAGGAGGACATGGTGGTGTTGAGGGGGGTCTCACAGAGTAGTAGGAGGACATGGCGGTGTTGAGGGGGGGGGGTCTCACGGAGTAGAAGGAGGACATGGCGGTGTTGAGGGGGTTACTCACGGAGTAGAAGGAGGACATGGTGGTGTTGAGTGGGTGTCTCACGGAGTAGAAGGAGGACATGGTGGTGTTGAGGGGGGGTCTCACAGAGTAGTAGGAGGACATGGTGGTGTTGAGGGGGGGTCTCACGGAGTAGAAGGAGGACATGGTGGTGTTGAGGGGGTGTCTCACGGAGTAGAAGGAGGACATGGCGGTGTTGAGGGGGGTCTCACAGAGTAGAAGGAGGACATGGTGGTGTTGAGGGGGTGTCTCACGGAGTAGTAGGAGGACATGGTGGTGTTGAGGGGGGGGTCTCACAGAGTAGTAGGAGGACATGGTGGTGTTGAGGGGGGGGGGGGGGTCTCACGGAGTAGAAGGAGGACATGGCGGTGTTGAGGGGGTTACTCACGGAGTAGAAGGAGGACATGGTGGTGTTGAGGGGGGTGTCTCACGGAGTAGAAGGACATGGTGGTGTTGAGGGGGGGGGGTGTCTCACGGAGTAGAAGGAGGACATGGTGGTGTTGAGGGGGTGTCTCACGGAGTAGAAGGAGGACATGGCGGTGTTGAGGGGGGTCTCACAGAGTAGAAGGACATGGTGGTGTTGAGGGGTGTCTCACGGAGTAGGAGGAGGACATGGTGGTGTTGAGGGGGTGTCTCACGGAGTAGAAGGAGGACATGGTGGTGTTGGGGGGGGGGGGTCTCACAGAGTAGAAGGAGGACATGGTGGTGTTGAGTGGGGGTCTCACGGAGTAGAAGGAGGACATGGTGGTGTTGAGGGGGGGTCTCACAGAGTAGTAGGAGGACATGGTGGTGTTGAGGGGGGGTCTCACGGAGTAGAAGGAGGACATGGTGGTGTTGCGGGGGTGTCTCACGGAGTAGAAGGAGGACATGGCGGTGTTGAGGGGGGTCTCACAGAGTAGAAGGAGGACATGGTGGTGTTGAGGGGGTGTCTCACGGAGTAGTAGGAGGACATGGTGGTGTTGAGGGGGGGGTCTCACAGAGTAGTAGGAGGACATGGTGGTGTTGAGGGGGGGGGGGGTCTCACGGAGTAGAAGGAGGACATGGCGGTGTTGAGGGGGTTACTCACGGAGTAGAAGGAGGACATGGTGGTGTTGAGGGGGGTGTCTCACGGAGTAGAAGGACATGGTGGTGTTGAGGGGGGGGGGGTGTCTCACGGAGTAGAAGGAGGACATGGTGGTGTTGAGGGGGTGTCTCACGGAGTAGAAGGAGGACATGGCGGTGTTGAGGGGGGTCTCACAGAGTAGAAGGACATGGTGGTGTTGAGGGGTGTCTCACGGAGTAGGAGGAGGACATGGTGGTGTTGAGGGGGTGTCTCACGGAGTAGAAGGAGGACATGGTGGTGTTGGGGGGGGGGGGTCTCACAGAGTAGAAGGAGGACATGGTGGTGTTGAGTGGGGGTCTCACGGAGTAGAAGGAGGACATGGTGGTGTTGAGGGGGGGTCTCACGGAGTAGAAGGAGGACATGGTGGTGTTGAGGGGGTGTCTCACGGAGTAGAAGGAGGACATGGTGGTGTTGAGGGGGGTGTCTCACGGAGTAGAAGGACATGGTGGTGTTGAGGGGGGGGGTGTCTCACGGAGTAGAAGGAGGACATGGTGGTGTTGAGGGGGTGTCTCACGGAGTAGAAGGACATGGTGTTGAGGGGGGGGGTGTCTCACGGAGTAGAAGGAGGACATGGCGGTGTTGAGGAGGTCATCGTCCTTCTTCTGCGGCTCCACGGTGTTGCCGAAGCCGACGTAGCGGCTGTCATGGCCACTGTGGCCACCGCCGCTGGGGCACGGAAACCATGGTGGTGGTGGTGGCGGCGGCGGCAACGACAACAACGATGGCGATGACGACAACAACGACAACAACAACAAAAATAACAACGATAATAAACAACGATAACAACAACAATGACAACACCAACAAACAACAGAATCACAATGGTTATTCGTCCCCCAGGATGCATCCGATGAGCTACAAAGGTCAGAAAGTTACAGAACGATACCAAAATAACAAAAAACGATGGTAGCGGTGGTGTTTGCCTGGGGACACACCTCTGGTAGCTGTCATCACCGAGCCAGTCCTCATAGTCGTTGGTCGTCGCGAAGGAGGAGGGCGGCTGCTGCTTGGAGCTGCTGCTGCTGCTGTTCCTGTGGGGCCGGACAGACGGTGGAGAGATGGTGAACAAAACCCGGCAGCCGGAGGTGGAGTGGAGGAACGATGCCCATCACATCTGCAGAGCTCGGTCGGAGCTGGGTCGGAGCTGGGTCAGAGTTGGGTCAGAGTTGGGTCAGAGTTGGGTCAGAGCTGGGTCAGAGCTGGCTCAGAGCTGGGTCACAGCTGGGTCAGAGTTGGGTCAGAGCTGGGTCACAGCTGTGTCAGAGTTGGGTCAGAGCTGGGTCAGAGTTGGGTCAGGGCTGGGTCAGAGTTGGGTCAGAGTTGTGTCAGGGCTGAGTCAGAATTGGGTTTGATTTGGGTCAGGGCTGGGTCAGAATTGGGTTTGATTTGGGTCAGAGCTGGGTCAGAGTTGGGTCAGAGTTGGGTCAGGGCTGGGTCAGAGTTGCATAAGAACTGGGTCAGAGTTGGGTCAGAGTTGGGTCAGAGTTGGGTCAGATTTGGGTCGGAGTTGGGTCAGAGTTGGGTCGGAGCTGGGTCAGAGTTGGGTCAGAGTTGGGTCACAGCTGGGTCACAGCTGGGTCAGAGTTGGGTCAGAGCTGGGTCACAGCTGGGTCACAGCTGGGTCAGAGTTGGGTCAGAGCTGGGTCACAGCTGGGTCAGAGTTGGGTCAGAGTTGGGTCAAGGCTGGGTCAGAGCTGGGTCAGAGTTGGGTCAGGGCTGGGTCAGAGTTGGGTTTGATTTGGGTCAGAGTTGGGTCAGAGTTGGGTCAGAGTTGGGTCGGATTTGGGTCGGAGTTGGGTCGGAGTTGGGTCGGAGTTAGGTCAGAGTTGGGTCAGAGTTGGGTCGGATTTGGGTCGGAGTTGGGTCAGAGTTGGGTCGGAGTTGGGACACAGTTGGGATCACCACACCGATGTGAGTGAGGGACACCACACCGGTGTGAGTGAGGGCCACCACACCGGTGTGAGTGAGGCCCACCACACCGGTGTAAGTGAGGCCCACCACACCAGTGTGAGTGAGTGAAGTCCACCACACATCTGGGGGAGGGGGGCCGCAATAAAAGGCCACTAGGGGCCGCCAGTGGGCCTGCTGTGGCCGGAGAGGCCACGTGGTTGCGTGTTTGTTGTTGGCACAGTAGGGGGCACAGGTGGTGCATCGGCCACTCATCTCAGTCAGTCGACCCGTGGCACCTGGGTCTGCCCCGTGACCTTCTGGCGGCGGGCGTTCGACACTTCACGTGGCCTCAACGTGTACATAGCCTGGCACAAGCGCCGTGGTGACGTCACCGCCACTTAGTAGCGAATGGTTGTTGTTATTATGCATGTGTGTGCGTGTGTGCGAGTGGTATAGTGTAGCGGACCGGCAAAAACAACCCCCTACCTCCTTGTGGTGCCGGACGGCAACGCTGTGGTGGGCAGTGCCGTGGGGGGAGGGCCAATTTAGATTGGCTGGTAACCCCTCCACCTTCAATTAACTACCACTACACTACGATGTAAAAAACTTATTAAGCTTGTGCCGGAGGCCCCAAGGGGACAGGCGTCTCTGATGTCTCCTGGCCAAACCCCATTTGGCGGAGGATAAATCCTTACCCTCGGGGCTCCTCCAGAAACAACAAAAAGCCACTTTGGATGACCACGTGGAATGTTTGAACGCTCGCTGCGGAGGAGAGGCTGCCACTCCTCTGTCAAGAGTTGGACCGGTACCGCCTGGATCTCTGTGGTATTCAGGAGGTCCGGTGGACCGGCTCTGGCTCCTGCCACCATCAGGGGTGGAGAGTCCTCTACTCGGGGCAGGAGACTGCCAATCAACAGGGTGTGGGCTCTTCTTCTGAACAAAATAATGAAGGGGGCGTGGGAGTGTGGCGGTGAGGTGTGGGAAGCTGTAAGCCCCAGGCTACTTTGGGCTCACCTTCCCATCAACCATAGGCGACGAGTGGTGGTCACTTATGCCCCCACCGAAGACGAACATCCGTGGAGGGATGCAGGCAAGGCCGAAGAGTCAGATGCCTTCTATGACCTCCTGTCACACAGGTGCTAGCTAAAGTGGCCCCTTGGAATAGTCATCTTGTTGGGTGACTCCAATGCCCGAATTGGTCATGATGCTAGCAACTGGTCTGGAGTGATTGGAAGGCATGGGCCAGTTCAGCTCAATAACAATGGTAGAAGGCTGCTAGATTTGTGTGCAGCTCATGGGCTTGTAATTACCAACACGCTGTTCTGGCATCGGCACATCCACACATCATGGATGCATGCCGGGTCCAAGCAAGAACATCTGCTGGACTACATAGTGACGGACCAGCGGATGCGAGCCCATGTCCTTGACACCAGGACCTACCGTGGAGCTGATCTGCCCACTGACCATCGACTTGTAATCTGTAAGACGCGCCTGCCATTCTTCCACTCCGGTGGTGGGTGTACACCCAGGTTCCCATTAAAGCCCATAGTGGCATGGTCTCAGCTAGCTGATGAAAGTTGCAAGCGAGAATTTCATCATCGCTTGCGGCTGGGGTTGTCATCGTCCCCCACTCCTCCTGATGTCGAGGGGAAATGGGCGAGGTTTATGGCTGTGACTCATGCAGCTGCAATGGCTGCTTTGGGTACACGGTCCAGACCTCCCAAGAGACCCTGGCTGACAGAGGACGTGTTCGGGCTGGCTGAGTAAAAGCGACAGGCCCACTGTCATTGTCTACAGCACGGGTGGGGAACGCCCGGCCCGTGGGCCGTATGAGGCCCTCAAAATCATTTGATCTGGCCCTGCCAAGGCAACCGCATGACTCAAAATTAAATAAATCTAGGCGCTTTCTTCATAGCAACACAAATTAAATTTTGTATGGCCCGAAAATGATGTTATATATATCCAAATGGCCCTTGGCAGAAAAAAGGTTCCCCACCCCTGGTCTACAGCATCCCACGTCAGAGAATGAGGAGGCTTACCGCAGCCTTCGCTCCGAGGTTCGGAGAGCCGTAAGGTGCTGCAAGGATGGTTGGTGGTCACGGGTTGCTGAGGAGATGGAGTCTGCCTCAATGGCCCGCGATCACACATCGCTCTTTAATGCCATCAAAAAAGTAGCCTGCATCGCCACACCTATTACCATCATTTGGGGAAATAACGGTGATCCAATCTCCGACCCCCAGGAACAGGTTTGCATATTTGTATTTGCTGAGCATTTCTGTGAGGTCCTGGGGGAGGGGAAATCCCTCAGCCTGGAAAACATCATGGGACAAAGTGGGGATGACCCTGTTGAGGCTGTGGTGCCTCTAATATGAAGAGAAGAAGTCACCCCTGTGAGTGACTGGCTGAGGTGTTGAAGAAGTACTAAAGGCACCGGGCAGAGATGATCTCCCAAGCAAAATGCTGAGGGAGGGTGGCGTTTGTGCACAGACTGCCCTATATGACATCATAACAATAGTCTGGACCACTGGATGGGTTCCGCCGGATTGGAAGGATGCCCTGGTGGTCCCCCTCTTTAAGAAGGGGGACCGCACAGACTGTAACAACTACAGGGGCATCTCACTCCTCAGTGTGCCGGGAAAGGTCCTGGCAAGGATTATTCAACATCGCCTTGCCAGGCACACTGAGGAGAGGCTTATGGAGCCCCAATGTGGTTTAAGGAAAGGGCGGTTCTGCACAGATGCCATATTTTCTGTTCGTCTGCTACAGCAGAGGGGTAGGGAATTCCTACAAGACCTACATCTCTGCTTTATTGACCTAGTCGAGGCCCATGATACCATCAGTAGGCCTGGGCTCTGGGTTGTTCTTCGTGCTTTCGGAGTCCCTGACCCGCTGCTGACGACCATTAAGGACCATCATGATGGTGAGCGGGCTGGATAAAACTACGTGGCCGGGAGTCGGAGCCATTCCCTGTACACCTTGGGGTGCGACAGGGATGTCCTCTGGCTCCCACATTATTTAACATCTATTTCGACCGCGTAGTTCGTGAAGCCTTTGATGGCTGTACCGGAGGAATTTCCATCTGGTACAGATACAATCGGAGGCTGATCGATGCCCGGGTCAAGGGATGGCTCCCTATTGCTCAACCACGTTATGTATGCCGATGATCTGTTAATGCCGCTCACTGCTGAACCTGGAGCGTGCCACTAAGAGGTGGGGCCTTACCATCAGCCCCACCAAAACTAAGCACCTGCCTGGGTATTTCGTACCATCGGACACTCCACCCCCACAACTCCCGATTGGTGATGGGGCAGTTGTGGAGAGAATGGAGAGTTTACCTGGGCAGTGTGCTCATGACCGGCTCCGGTTTGGCACAGCAGAGGTCTCACTCCGAATGAGTCGAGCGGCAATATCCTTTCATCTGTTGCGTAACGCTGTGTGGAAGCTGCCTGGTCTGTCACTCCGCACGAAGCTTCAGGTCTTCTCGGCCACGGTCATTCCCTCCCTTCTCTACGCTTGCGAAACGTGGACCCCCCTTATGAAACATCTTCGCTGGTTAGAAACATTTAGGCTGGCCTGCCTACGATCCATCCTGGGTTTAAGCAGGCTGGATTGTGTGAGGAGCTCACAAATCCTCGAAAAATCTGGGCAAGGTCCCATCGGTGAGCTCCTCCGGCAGGCAAGGCTGCGATGGCTGGGTCATGTAGCCCGCATGCCCAGCCACCGCATGCCGAAACAGCTTTTGTTCGACCGGGTCGAGGGGGCTAAACGGGCGCGGCACGTGCTCGAGAAGAGATGGAGTGATGTGGTTGATACAGGAGGACGTGGAGCTGAGTGGACTTGCCGATGACTGGTACCAGCGCTGTCAAGATCGGCCTCTGTGGAGGAGGCTCGTGACGGACGCTACTGGGCAGTTGGAGGCAGTCGCCCTCCAACAACAACGGAGGGCGGAGGAGCGACGCTCACAACAACGAGCAAAGCGCCGGGTGGCTAAAGCACAGCAGGTTGGCACGGTAGGGGGCACAGGTGGTGCATCAGCCAGTCATCTCAGTCACTCGACCCGTGGCACCTGGGTCTGCCCAGTGACCTCCTGTCAGCAGGCGTTTGACACTTCACGTGGCCTCAATGTGCACATGGCCTGGTACAAGCTACGTGGTGACATCACCGCCACTTAGTGGCGAATGGCGGTTGATGTAGCGGTTAGCGCACCACGCGACGCTCACGGCAAACACCGGTGTCAATTATCTGAACCGGTCCTGGGCTTCCTCTAGGTGGACTCAGCCTCAAATAAGTACCTGGTGCATTAAGTATCGCCACTGGGGAGACGAAGGTGGCCGGGCGTGTGTCGCTGTCCACCCACCCCGCTCGTGTGGTGCTACTCGCTAACAGCACTTGCCCCAACAGTCTGCTAAGGCTACACGGGGGATCTTTGTGTGTGTGTGTGAAGGCCGCACCTGTGGGAGGCGTTGAGGCGGCCGCCGGCCTGCGGAGGCACCCAGTTCCGGGCCTCCGACGTCTCCTCGGACCACTCGCGCCCCTCGGCCAGGGCCGAGATCTGGGTGGGGGGGGGAAGGGTGGCACGGGGTCAGTGACGACGGTGACGACGTGCGGGTAACCGCCGTTGTTACGGCTGCACGGGGGGTGGGGGGGGGTAAGGGGGGTCGGGGGTCACCTTGTCACGGTAGAGCGCGGCGGGGCGGCTGTTGTACTTCTCCTGCAGCGTCCACCCCTCCTCCACGTCGTCACGCTCCCCCAGGAAGGCACGGAACCTCGTGTTGCCCCCCGCCTTCATCTTCGCCAGCTCCAGGTCCTTCCACTTGTCCATGGAGACCGAGCGCACGAAGCTGCACCGCACAGACGGGGGGGGCAGGGCAGGGGGGTGGAGGGAGGGGAGCATGCGAGGGAGGAGAGAGAGGAGAGGTGAGGGTGACGGAGAGCACGCGTGGCATTGACAGAGTGACTGGGAGGATGATGAGAGTGAGTGACTGGGAGGATGAGTGGCAGTGACAGTGACTGGGAGGATGATGAGAACGAGAGAGAGATCAGGAGGCAACAACAGCAGAGGGCGGACGAGTGATGCACGCAAACGCCGGTCACCGGGAGTTTTAAAACAAAGGCACGAAAACTATATCTTATTTTACCGGAGCGGGAGAGCTAGCGGGGACGGGAGAGTGAGCGGGGACGGGAGAGCAGGCGGGAGAGTGAGCGGGAGCGCGAGTGGGAGAGTGAGTGGGAGAGTGAGAGCGAGTGGGAGAGTGAGAGCGAGTGGGAGAGTGAGAGTGAGTGGGAGAGTGAGAGTGAGTGGGAGAGTGAGAGTGAGTGGGAGAGTGAGTGGGAGAGTGAGGGTGAGCGGGAGAGTGAGCGGGAGCGCGAGTGGGAGAGTGAGTGGGAGAGTGAGAGCGAGTGGGAGAGTGAGAGCGAGTGGGAGAGTGAGAGTGAGTGGGAGAGTGAGAGTGAGTGGGAGAGTGAGTGGGAGAGTGAGAGCGAGTGGGAGAGTGAGAGCGAGTGGGAGAGTGAGTGGGAGAGTGAGTGGGAGAGTGAGTGGGAGAGTGAGAGTGAGTGGGAGAGTGAGTGGGAGAGTGAGAGTGAGGGCGGCAGAGTGAGAGTGAGTGGGAGAGTCAGTGGGAGAGTGAGTGGGAGGGTGAGTGGGAGAGTGAGAGTGAGTGGGAGAGTGAGAGTGAGCGGGAGAGTGAGCGGGAGAGTGAGCGGGAGAGTGAGAGTGAGCGGGAGAGAGAGAGTGAGCGGGAGAGTGAGCGCGAGTGGGAGAGTGAGTGGGAGAGTGAGTGGGAGAGTGAGTGGGAGAGTGAGTGGGAGAGTGAGAGGGAGAGTGAGAGTGAGCGGGAGAGTGAGAGTGAGCGGGAGAGTGAGCGCGAGTGGGAGAGTGAGTGGGAGAGTGAGTGGGAGAGTGAGAGTGAGCGGGAGAGTGAGCGGGAGAGTGAGAGTGAGCGGGAGAGTGAGAGTGAGCGGGAGAGTGAGCGCGAGTGGGAGAGTGAGTGGGAGAGTGAGTGGGAGAGTGAGAGTGAGTGGGAGAGTGAGAGGGAGAGTGAGCGGGAGAGTGAACGGGAGAGTGAGAGTGAGCGGGAGAGTGAGAGTGAGCGGGAGAGTGAGCGCAAGTGGGAGAGCGAGTGGGAGAGTGAGAGTGAGTGGGAGAGTGAGAGTGAGTGGGAGAATGAGTGGGAGAGTGAGAGCGAGTGGGAGAGTGAGAGTGAGTGGGAGAGTGAGAGTGAGCGGGAGAGTGAGTGGGAGCGGGAGAGTGAGTGGGAGAGTGAGAGTGAGTGGGAGAGTGAGACGAGTGGGAGAGTGAGGGCGGGAGAGTGAGAGTGAGTGGGAGAGTGAGAGTGAGTGGGAGAGTGAGAGTGAGTGGGAGAGTGAGAGCGAGTGGGAGAGTGAGAGTGAGTGGGAGAGTGAGAGTGAGCAGGAGAGTGAGTGGGAGAGTGAGAGTGAGTGGGAGAGTGAGAGCGAGTGGGAGAGTGAGTGGGAGAGTGAGAACGAGAGGGAGAGTGGGAGAGCGAGCGGTAGAGTGAGAGTGAGTGGGAGAGTCAGAGTGAGTGGGAGAGTGAGAGTGAGTGGGAGAGTGAGAGTGAGTGGGAGAGTGAGAGTGAGTGGGAGAGTGAGAACGAGAGGGAGAGTGGGAGAGCGAGCGGTAGAGTGAGAGTGAGTGGGAGAGTGAGTGGGAGAGTGAGAGTGAGAGCGCGTGGGAGAGTGAGTGGGAGAGTGAGTGGGAGAGTGAGAGTGAGAGCGAGTGGGAGAGTGAGAGTGAGTGGGAGAGTGAGAGTGAGAGCGAGTGGGAGAGTGAGAGCGAGTGGGAGAGCGAGCGGGAGAGTGAGTGGGAGAGTGAGAGCGAGTGGGAGAGTGAGAGCGAGTGGGAGAGTGAGAGTGAGTGGGAGAGTGAGAACGAGTGGGACAGCGAGTGGGAGAGCGAGTGGGAGAACGAGTGGGAGAGCGAGTGGGACAGCGAGTGGGAGAGCGAGTGGGAGAACGAGTGGGAGAGTGAGAGTGAGAACGAGTGGGAGAGCGAGTGGGACAGCGAGTGGGAGAGCGAGCGAGTGGATGGGCGGCGGGGCGTTGAGGGGGTGCGCCGTGGCCCCTACCTGAGGTGCACCCCGAGCCCCCGGTGCCTCCCCGAGCACTCGAGGCAGATCCAGATGCCGTAGGTGACGCTCACCCACTGCGGGTTGAACGCTCCGCACTCGAAGCACGTCTGTGGCACGCAGCACAGCGCACGGGACACAGTGCACGGCATGGGACACAGCACACAGCACGTGACACAGCACACAGCACGTGACACAGCACAGCACGTGACACAGCACAGCACGTGACACAGCACACAGCACGTGAAACAGCACATGGCACGTGACACAGCGCACGGCACGTGACACAATACAGCACGTGACACAACACAGCACGTGATACAGCACACGGCACGGGACACAGCACACAGCACGTGACACAGCACGTGACACAGCACGTGACACAACACAGCACGTGACACATCACACAGCACGTGACACAACACAGCACGTGACACAGCACGTGACACAACACAGCACGTGACACAACACACAGCACGTGACACAACACAGCACGTGACACAGCACACAGCACGTGACAGCACACAGCACGTGACACAACACAGCACGTGACACAGCACACAGCACGTGACAGCACACAGCACGTGACACAACACAGCACGTGACACAGCACACAGCACGTGACAGCACACAGCACGTGACACAGCACACAGCACGTGACACAACACAGCACGTGACACAACACACAGCACGTGACAGCACACAGCACGTGATACAGCACACAGCACGTGACACAACACACAGCACGTGACACAGCACACAGCATGTGACACAACACACAGCACGTGATACAGCACACAGCACGTGACACAACACACAGCACGTGACACAGCACACAGCACGTGACACAGCACACAGCACGTGACACAGCACGTGACACAACACAGCACGTGACACAGAACACAGCACGTGACACAGCACGTGACACAGAACACAGCACGTGACACAGCACGTGACACAGCACACAGCACGTGACACAACACAGCACGTGACACAACAAAGATCAGAGCGGACGGGAGCTTTCATTCGTTGAGCTATCATCTGTGATAGCGAGGCTCACTTCGGAAAAATAACTATGAGTGAAGCCCCACCCACAGTGGCTAGATGTTAACTACCTCGCCTGGTATTCAGGAGGTCGTGGGTTCGACCCTAACCCTGACACCTGCTGCTGTATATTTGGAGTTTGCGTCTCCCTCTCTCTCACCATCATCATCATCACAGTGGCTAGGAGACGTTAACTACCTGCCTGGTATGAAGGAGGTCGTGGATTCTATCCCGACCCTGACGTCTGCTGCTGTATATTTAAAGTCCGCATGTCTCTCTGTCTCTCCCCACGATCGCATGGATTTCTCTCCGGGCCTTCCGGTTTTTCCCTCCACATTTAGAATCTACGTCACGCACACGATGACGATGATGATGATGATAAGCCACCCGCTTCGTTGAGTTATCATTTCTGATGGCAAGTTCAGTGGGGCCTAACCCAGTAAAATAAAAGCAGTTTATTTTCTTACATAGACGAGAATGGTCGGGTCGAGAGCTGGACGACTACTCACCCCGTTGTCGTCCTGGCCACGGACTTCCTTGAGTACTCGCCGGGTCCTGGGGCTCGCCATGGCTCCTCCTGCAACCCCACGAGGCAGCGGAGAGTTCACCGCTAGAGTTCACCGCTAGAGTTCACCGCTACAGTCCACCGCTACAGTCCACCGCTAGAGTCCACCGCTACAGTCCACCGCTACAGTTCACCGCTAGAGTTCACCGCTAGAGTTCACCGCTAGAGTTCACCGCTAGAGTCCACTGCTACAGCCCACCGCTACAGTCCACCGCTAGAGTTCACCGCTAGAGTTCACCGCTACAGTCCACCGCTACAGTCCACCGCTACAGTCCACCGCTACAGTTCACCGCTACAGTCCACTGCTAGGGTTCACCGCTAGAGTTCACCGCTACAGTCCAACGCTAGAGTCCACCGCTACAGTCCACCGCTAGAGTTCACCGCTACAGTCCACCGCTAGAGTTCACCGCTACAGTCCACCGCTACAGTCCACCGCTAGAGTCCACCGCTACAGTCCACCGCTAGAGTTCACCGCTACAGTCAACCGCAAGAGTTCACCGCTACAGTCCACTGCTACAGTCCACCGCTAGAGTCCACCGCTACAGTTCACCACTACAGTCCACCGCTACAGTTCACCGTTACAGTCCACCGTTACAGTCCACCGCTAGAGTTCACCACTACAGTTCACCACTACAGTTCACCGTTACAGTCCACCGCTAGAGTTCACCGCTAGAGTTCACCGCTAGAGTTCACTGCTACAGTCCACCGTTACAGTCCACCGCTACAGTCCACCGTTACAGTCCACCGCTACAGTCCACCGCTACAGTTCACCGTTACAGTCCACCGCTAGAGTTCACCGCTAGAGTTCACCGCTAGAGTTCACCACCAGTCTATAGTATCACTCACCAGTCTATAGTATCCACCGCCAGTCTATAGCATCACTCACCAGACTATAGTATCACTCACCAGACTATAGTATCACTCACCAGTCTATAGTATCCACCACCAGTCTATAGCATCACTCACCAGTCTATAGTATCACTCACAAGACTATAGTATCACTCACCAGTCTATAGTATAACTCACCAGACTATAGTATCACTCACCAGTCTATAGTATCCACCACCAGTCTATAGTATCACCACCAGTCTATAGTATCACTCACAAGACTATAGTATCCACCACCAGTCTATAGTATCACTCACCAGACTATAGGATCCACCACCAGTCTATAGTATCACTCACCAGTCTATAGTATCCACCGCCAGTCTATAGCATCACTCACCAGAATATAGTATCACTCACCAGTCTATAGTATCACTCACCAGTCTATAGTATCACTCACCAGTCTATAGTATCCACCACCAGTCTATACTATCACCACCAGTCTATAGTATCACTCACAAGACTATAGTATCCACCACCAGTCTATAGTATCACTCACCAGACAATAGTATCCACCACCAGTCTATAGTATCACCAGTCTATAGTATCACCAGTCTATAGTACCACCAGTCTATAGTACCACCAGTCTATAGTATCACTCACCAGTCTATAGTATCACCAGTCTATAGTATCACTCACCAGTCTATAGTATCACCAGTCTATAGTACCACCAGTCTATAGTACCACCAGTCTATAGTACCACCAGTCTATAGTATCACCAGTCTATAGTATCACCAGTCTATAGTATCACTCGCCAGACTATAGTATCACTCACCAGTCTATAGTGCCACCAGTCTATAGTATCACCAGTCTATAGTACCACCAGTCTATAGTACCACCAGTCTATAGTACCACCAGTCTATAGTATCACTCACCAGTCTATAGTACCACCAGTCTATAGTATCACTCACCAGTCTATAGTATCACCAGTCTATAGTATCACCAGTCTATAGTATCACCAGTCTATAGTATCACTCACCAGTCTATAGTATCTCCAGTCTATAGTACCACCAGTCTATAGTATCACTCACCAGTCTATAGTACCACCAGTCTATAGTATCACCAGTCTATAGTATCACCAGTCTATAGTATCACTCACCAGTCTATAGTATCACCAGTCTATAGTACCACCAGTCTATAGTACCACCAGTCTATAGTATCACCAGTCTATAGTATCACCAGTCTATAGTATCACTCACCAGTCTATAGTATCACCAGTCTATAGTACCACCAGTCTATAGTATCACTCACCAGTCTATAGTATCACCAGTCTATAGTATCACCAGTCTATAGTATCACTCACCAGTCTATAGTATCACTCACCAGTCTATAGTATCACCAGTCTATAGTATCACTCACCAGTCTATAGTACCACCAGTCTATAGTATCACCAGTCTATAGTATCACCAGTCTATAGTATCACCAGTCTATAGTATCACCAGTCTATAGTATCACTCACCAGTCTATAGTATCTCCAGTCTATAGTACCACCAGTCTATAGTATCACTCACCAGTCTATAGTATCACTCACCAGTCTATAGTATCCACCACCAGTCTATACTATCACCACCAGTCTATAGTATCACTCACAAGACTATAGTATCCACCACCAGTCTATAGTATCACTCACCAGACAATAGTATCCACCACCAGTCTATAGTATCACTCACCAGTCTATAGTATCACCAGTCTATAGTATCACCAGTCTATAGTACCACCAGTCTATAGTACCACCAGTCTATAGTATCACTCACCAGTCTATAGTATCACCAGTCTATAGTATCACTCACCAGTCTATAGTATCACCAGTCTATAGTACCACCAGTCTATAGTACCACCAGTCTATAGTATCACCAGTCTATAGTATCACCAGTCTATAGTATCACTCGCCAGACTATAGTATCACTCACCAGTCTATAGTGCCACCAGTCTATAGTACCACCAGTCTATAGTACCACCAGTCTATAGTACCACCAGTCTATAGTATCACTCACCAGTCTATAGTACCACCAGTCTATAGTATCACTCACCAGTCTATAGTACCACCAGTCTATAGTATCACCAGTCTATAGTATCACCAGTCTATAGTATCACCAGTCTATAGTATCACTCACCAGTCTATAGTATCTCCAGTCTATAGTACCACCAGTCTATAGTATCACTCACCAGTCTATAGTACCACCAGTCTATAGTATCACCAGTCTATAGTATCACCAGTCTATAGTATCACTCATCAGTCTATAGTATCACCAGTCTATAGTACCACCAGTCTATAGTATCACTCACCAGTCTATAGTATCACCAGTCTATAGTATCACCAGTCTATAGTATCACTCACCAGTCTATAGTATCACCAGTCTATAGTACCACCAGTCTATAGTATCACTCACCAGTCTATAATACCACCAGTCTATAGTATCACCAGTCTATAGTATCACCAGTCTATAGTATCACCAGTCTATAGTATCACTCACCAGTCTATAGTATCTCCAGTCTATAGTACCACCAGTCTATAGTATCACTCACCAGTCTATAGTACCACCAGTCTATAGTATCACCAGTCTATAGTATCACCAGTCTATAGTATCACTCACCAGTCTATAGTATCACCAGTCTATAGTACCACCAGTCTATAGTATCACCAGTCTATAGTATCACCAGTCTATAGTATCACTCACCAGTCTATAGTATCACCAGTCTATAGTACCACCAGTCTATAGTATCACTCACCAGTCTATAGTATCACCAGTCTATAGTATCACCAGTCTATAGTATCACTCACCAGTCTATAGTATCACCAGTCTATAGTACCACCAGTCTATAGTATCACTCACCAGTCTATAGTATCACCAGTCTATAGTATCACTCACCAGTCTATAGTACCACCAGTCTATAGTATCACTCACCAGTCTATAGTATCACCAGTCTATAGTACCACCAGTCTATAGTATCACTCACCAGTCTATAGTATCACCAGTCTATAGTATCACTCACCAGTCTATAGCATCCACCACCAGTCTATAGTATCACTCACCAGTCTATAGTACCACCAGTCTATAGTACCACCAGTTTATAGTACCACCAGTCTATAGTATCACCAGTCTATAGTACCACCAGTCTATAGTACCACCAGTCTATAGTATCACTCACCAGTCTATAGTATCACCAGTCTATAGTACCACCAGTCTATAGTATCACTCACCAGTCTATAGTACCACCAGTCTATAGTATCACTCACCAGTCTATAGTATCACTCACCAGTCTATAGTATCACCAGTCTATAGTACCACCAGTCTATAGTATCACTCACCAGTCTATAGTACCACCAGTCTATAGTACCACCAGTCTATAGTATCACTCACCAGTCTATAGTACCACCAGTCTATAGTATCACTCACCAGTCTATAGTATCACTCACCAGTCTATAGTACCACTCACCAGTCTATAGTATCACTCACCAGTCTATAGTATCACTCACCAGTCTATAGTATCACTCACCAGTCTATAGTATCACCAGTCTATAGTACCACCAGTCTATAGTATCACTCACCAGTCTATAGTACCACCAGTCTATAGTACCACCAGTCTATAGTATCACTCACCAGTCTATAGTACCACCAGTCTATAGTATCACTCACCAGTCTATAGTATCACTCACCAGTCTATAGTACCACTCACCAGTCTATAGTATCACTCACCAGTCTATAGTATCACTCACCAGTCTATAGTACCACCAGTCTATAGTATCACTCACCAGTCTATAGTACCACCAGTCTATAGTATCACTCACCAGTCTATAGTACCACTCACCAGCTGTGAGTCTTCCCCAACGCTGGCAGGGAAGCGGCTTGGGCCTTTGGCTTGGGCCTTCGGCGGCTCGCCGACTTGGCCACTGCCGGAACGGGAACCCGCAAGTCACCGAGACAGAAACCCAGTAGAATCACCGATCGATTATGATCGATGGGTTGATGATCGATGATTATGAATCGGCTCAAGGAGTGATCGGGATCGAGTTTCAGCTCGGAGCCGGCCGCTGCTACCGCTGATGACGATGACGATGCCACGACGCAGTGACGTCACTGCCCCCCCCCGTGTACCCCCCTCCTCCCCCTTGCCAGGTCCGAGGGTTAAAAAACCTCTAGGGCACCCCCCCCCTCCTTCAGCTGGGTGAGAGCAGGGAATCGATTTCGCCTATTGGAGGGGTGGAATCGATGTGTGGGCGATCCGGGGTTGGGGGAGGCTCCACCCACCCCATCTCGGTCCGCCTGGGTAGTTGGGAGAGGGGGCGAAGCTCACAACAACGAGCGGAGCGCCGGGCCGATAAAGCGCAGTGGGTTGTTGGCGTCTTAGTCGGTCAAACCCACGGCACCTGCTGGGTCTGTCCCGTGATCTCCTCCTCCTGCACCTAGCCTGGCACAGCAGTCATCCCATAACACCTGGGTCTGTCCCGTGACCTCCTGCACCTAGCCTGGCACAGCAGTCATCCTATAGCACCTGGGTTTGTCCCGTGACCTCCTCCTGCACCTAGCCTGGCACAGCAGTCATCCCATAGCACCTGGGTTTGTCCCGTGACCATCTTCTCCTGCACCTAGCCTGGCACAGCAGTCATCACATAGCACCTGGGTTTGTCCCGTGACTTCCTGCACCTAGCCTGGCACAGCAGTCACGCTTACGGCACCTGCTGGGTCTGTCCCGTGACCTCCTGCACCTAGCCTGGCACAGCAGTAAAACCCACGGCGCTCGGGTCTGTCACGTGACAGACCCAGGTATAGTTTTATTTAAGGTACAAATACAAATAAAGTAAACTTAGATTTTATAGCTCAACGAAAGTGGCTCATCACGTGGACATTCATAGCAGCGAATACTCTAAACGCACTTTTTATTTGTCTATTTCATTTCGAGTGATGTGTTTACCTTGCCTGTACTTAGCACTCATTTAGTGTTGGTAAGTTGTGTTTGTTGTTGTTGTGACGTTCCGACCTCGTGCTCCTCCTGGTCATCTGTGCAGAAGAGCTTTATAGCTCATCGGATTCCTCCAAGATAAATGAATACAGGAACTCCTCGACTTACGAACGAGTTAGGTTCGAGAAGTCTGTTCGTAAGTCGATTTGTTCGTAAGTCCAACTTTACTCCTGTCGATTCCAAACGTGTTGTACGGCATGTACACTAAACACGAGGAATGGCTTTAAAAGTTGTTTAACCTTCTGTAGATGTAGGAACCACTGATTCTTCATGTTCTGTAGATGTAGATGCCACTGGTTCTTCACGTTCTGTAGATGTAGATGCCACTGATTCTACATGTTCTGTAGATGTAGATGCCACTGGTTCTTCATCTTCTGCAGATGTAGATGCCACTGGTTCTTCACGTTCTACAGATGTAGATGCCACTGGTTCTTCACGTTCTGCAGATGTAGATGCCACTGGTTCTTCACGTTCTACAGATGTAGATGCCACTGGTTCTTCATGTTCTGTAGATGTAGATGCTACTGGTTCTTCACATTCTGTAGATATAGATGCCACTGGTTCTTGACGTTCTGTAGATGTAGGTGCCACTGGTTCTTCATGTTCTGCAGATGTAGATGTCACTGGTTCTTCACGTTCTGCAGATGTAGATGCCACTGGTTCTTCACGTTCTACAGATGTAGATGCCACTGGTTCTTCACGTTCTACAGATGTAGATGCCACTGGTTCTTCACGTTATGCAGATGTAGATGCTACTGGTTCTTCACGTTCTACAGATGTAGATGCCACTGGTTCTTCATGTTCTGCAGATGTAGATGCCACTGGTCCTTCGTGTTCTGCAGATGCCACTGGTTCTTCACGTTATGCAGAAGTAGATGCCACTGGTTCTTCACGTTCTATAGATGTAGATGCCACTGGTTCTTCACGTTCTACAGATGTAGATGCCACTGGTTCTTCATCTTCTGCAGATGTAGGTGCCACTGGTTCTTCACGTACTGTAGATGTAGATGCTACTGGTACTTCATCTTCTGCAGATGTAGGTGCCACTGGTTCTTCACGTACTGTAGATGTAGATGCCACTGGTGCTTCATGTTCTGTAGATGTAGATGCTACTGGTTCTTCATCTTCTGCAGATGTAGGTGCCACTGGTTCTTCACGTACTGTAGATGTAGATGCTACTGGTACTTCATCTTCTGCAGATGTAGGTGCCACTGGTTCTTCACGTACTGTAGATGTAGATGCCACTGGTGCTTCATGTTCTGTAGATGTAGATGCCACTGGTTCTTCATCTTCTGCAGATGTAGATGCCACTGGTTCTTCACGTTCTACAGATGTAGATGCCACTGGTTCTTCATGTTCTGCAGATGTAGATGCCACTGGTTCTTAATGTTCTGCAGATGTAGATGCCACTGGTTCTTCATGTTCTGTAGATGTAGATGCTACTGGTTCTTCACATTCTGCAGATGTAGATGCCACTGGTTCTTGACGTTCTGTAGATGTAGGTGCCACTGGTTCTTCATGTTCTGCAGATGTAGATGTCACTGGTTCTTCACGTTCTGCAGATGTAGATGCCACTGGTTCTTCACGTTCTACAGATGTAGATGCCACTGGTTCTTCACGTTCTACAGATGTAGATGCCACTGGTTCTTCACGTTATGCAGATGTAGATGCTACTGGTTCTTCACGTTCTACAGATGTAGATGCCACTGGTTCTTCATGTTCTGCAGATGTAGATGCCACTGGTCCTTCGTGTTCTGCAGATGCCACTGGTTCTTCACGTTATGCAGAAGTAGATGCCACTGGTTCTTCACGTTCTATAGATGTAGATGCCACTGGTTCTTCACGTTCTACAGATGTAGATGCCACTGGTTCTTCATCTTCTGCAGATGTAGGTGCCACTGGTTCTTCACGTACTGTAGATGTAGATGCTACTGGTACTTCATCTTCTGCAGATGTAGGTGCCACTGGTTCTTCACGTACTGTAGATGTAGATGCCACTGGTGCTTCATGTTCTGTAGATGTAGATGCTACTGGTTCTTCATCTTCTGCAGATGTAGGTGCCACTGGTTCTTCACGTACTGTAGATGTAGATGCTACTGGTACTTCATCTTCTGCAGATGTAGGTGCCACTGGTTCTTCACGTACTGTAGATGTAGATGCCACTGGTGCTTCATGTTCTGTAGATGTAGATGCCACTGGTTCTTCATGTTCTGCAGATGTAGATGCCACTGGTTCTTCACGTTCTGTAGATGTAGATGCCACTGGTTCTTCACGTTCTGCAGATGTAGATGCCACTGGTTCTTCACATTATGCAGATGTAGATGCCACTGGTTCTTCATGTTCTGTAGATGTAGATGCTACTGGTTCTTCACATTCTGTAGATATAGATGCCACTGGTTCTTGACGTTCTGTAGATGTAGGTGCCACTGGTTCTTCATGTTCTGCAGATGTAGATGTCACTGGTTCTTCACGTTCTGCAGATGTAGATGCCACTGGTTCTTCACGTTCTACAGATGTAGATGCCACTGGTTCTTCACGTTTCTACAGATGTAGATGCCACTGGTTCTTCACGTTATGCAGATGTAGATGCCACTGGTTCTTCACGTTCTACAGATGTAGATGCCACTGGTTCTTTATGTTCTGCAGATGTAGATGCCACTGGTCCTTCGTGTTCTGCAGATGCCACTGGTTCTTCACGTTATGCAGATGTAGATGCCACTGGTTCTTCACGTTCTATAGATGTAGATGCCACTGGTTCTTCACGTTCTACAGATGTAGATGCCACTGGTTCTTCATCTTCTGCAGATGTAGGTGCCACTGGTTCTTCACGTACTGTAGATGTAGATGCTACTGGTACTTCATCTTCTGCAGATGTAGGTGCCACTGGTTCTTCACGTACTGTAGATGTAGATGCCACTGGTGCTTCATGTTCTGTAGATGTAGATGCTACTGGTTCTTCATCTTCTGCAGATGTAGGTGCCACTGGTTCTTCACGTACTGTAGATGTAGATGCCACTGGTTCTTCACGTTCTATAGATGTAGACGCCACTGGTTCTTCACGTACTGTAGATGTAGATGCCACTGGTTCTTCACGTTCTACAGATGTAGGTGCCACTGGTCCTTCGTGTTCTGTAGATGTAGGTGCCACTGGTTCTTCATCTTCTGCAGATGTAGATGCCACTGGTTCTTCATGTTCTGCAGATGTAGATGCCACTGGTTCTTCACGTTCTGCAGATGTAGATGCCACTGGTCCTTCGCGTTCTGCAGATGTAGATGCCACTGGTTCTTCACGTTCTGTAGATGCAGATGCCACTGGTTCTTCATCTTCTGCAGATGTAGATGCCACTGGTTCATATTCTTAGCTCTTTCGGTAAAGTCACGTTGAAGGGAAACAATAAAATAATAAAATATATAAAACAATAAAAATTCTCACGACGTTTCGACCATAACACAAAGGTCGTCATCACCTGATGAGGCGGGGTTTGGGAGACGTCACCCCTCGCCCCCATTCATTCCCAGTGATGTCACTCACATCAGAGGCGTCTGGGCTGCAGGTTGTCACGCTAGAGGGATGTTATTCCTACTGAGTTATTGACATTCAGTTTAAACATCTGAATCATTATTCAGACTGCAGGAGGGAATCCCAAGAGCTATGAAGATATTTTTTTAATTATTATTTATCTTCACAGACGTCCAGTGCGGGGTCAGCAAGTTAGAGAACAACAACCACACGTGATGCAGCAAACACCGACAAGGAGTTCAGAACGTGGTAAGCGAGCCACTAAATATAAATACGTCAGATACACACATCGATCAATACCCCCAACCATTAGAGTTTATATAAATACGTTATACATAAATGACGTCACGCACCTAGGGGAGGGGGTCAGACATTTGTGACGATGTGTGACAAGGTGGGGGGGTTGAGAAATGTGACGTCACATCAAAATGCGCAACTTTAAATAAATATAGACAAACACGTTCTACTTAATTAAATAGACTTTTTGAGAAATGTTTCTCCTACAACATCAGAGTGCAGCGCCACATTAAATACGCGCTACAATGACTAATAGTTTAAAGCGATTTGAAGAACGTTTTATTTTTGGGGGGGAGGGGGGGGCAGAGCTTTGTGATGTCA